ATACTCACCTATACCTTTAAAAGTAAGCCAGTGTAACGTAGCACACCCATGGAGGCTCAACTGCACCACATTAGTGTGCCACTTCTGCAAAATGCGCTGTGCCACACGATCGTTTATGACCTCCTTCACTTCAGAAAAATCAATCTTAAAAAATAAAATAACACTGCTGTAGAAATTACAGAAAGACTACAACATGTCACCTACTACACGGTCCTTAACGTGAAGGTTACGCGAAAAAACATTCTAGGACCGTGATGGAGAACCTATGGCACGCATGCCACAGATGGCACGCGGAGCCATATCTGTGGGCCCGCGAGCGTTGTCCTAGATCAGCTCCAGTGCACATGCGCCCGCCAGCCAAATAATTTCCAGTCCCACCAGAAGTCGGGAAACAGTCTCTTTCCGGCCTCCAAGAAAGCCCCTGGAGCCTGGGGAGGGCGAAAAACGGGCCCACTGTGCCATCGCATGCCAAAGGTGGGGGGAGTGCGAGGGGGTCATGCACGCATGCATGGGAAGGCGGAGTGCATTGAATTATGGGTGTGGGCACGTACGCACACAACCCCCCCCACGGTCCCCCGCTTTTGGCACCCGATGGCAAAAAGGTTAGCCGTCACTGTTCTAGGAGGTCAACCGATTGGAATTACTTCTTAAATAACAGACGCTCCTCATTTAGCAATCGGGGGCCCAATAAAAAGGGTAGTAAAGCGTTAATTTTTTTAAAAAAATAATTTTCAGACTAATGCATGTATTTATAATGAAATTTCACATTTACAAACGTCACAGCCCCTACCTCCCCATGGTCATATGATCAAAATATGACGATTTTGTCATTGTCATGTATTTATAATAGATGCAGCATCCATGTTCACCATTAGTGACGCTCCCAGCTTCAAACAAACAAAATCAAGGGAGGGGGAAGCCATATTTGCTTAGCAACCAGGGTGATTCGCTGAACAACCACAGCAGAAGAGATCGAGTCCGGCTCACTCAACAACTACCTCCAATTCCAATTCTGGTTGTAAATATTTATTTATTATTTATTTATTTATTTATTTTATTTCTATACCGCCCTTCTCCCGGAGGACTCAGGGCGGTGTACAGCCTGATTAAAAACACAAAGACAGACAGAATTTAAAATAAATTAAAATTATTAAAGGATAGGCTCAATTTAAAACCCCAAATTTAAAATCCCATTTTTAAAACCCAATTAAAATCTTTACATTGATAGCCCAGCCTGGCGGAACAACAAGGTTTTGAGGGCACAGCGAAATACACGGAGATCAGAGATTTTACGAATTTCTGGGGACAGTTCGTTCCAAAGGGCAGGGGCTCCCACAGAGAAGGCCCTCCCCCCTGGGTGTCGCCAGCCGACATAATTTGGCCGATGGCACCCTGAGGAGACCCTCTCTGTGGGAGCAGACCGGTCGGTGGGAGGCTATTGGTGGCAGAAGTCGGTCTCGAAGGTATCCAGGTTCAATGCCATGGAGCGCTTTAAAGGTGGTGACCAATACCTTGAATCGCACCCGGAAGGCCACTGGGAGCCAGTGCAGCTCGCGCAGGAGGGGTGTCACGTGGGCACAACGAGTTGTGCCCACAACCACCCGCGCGGCCGCATTCTGGACCAGTTGGAGCCTCCGGGTGCTTTTCAAGGGGAGCCCCATGTAGCCCCATGTAAATAGAGGACAACCCACACTACGTGCTTAGGACGATTTGCTCATTTTAAAACGGATAGTTCATTTGTTTAGCTTTCCCCCAATGGGTTATGTTTTTTTTAAAAAACAAAATATCATTAAAAATTTCAAGCAACTCTACTTACGCTACTCCACACGGTAACCACTTGTGTCATGGCCTTCCAGGCTTGGGAAACCTGAGCGCACCTAGCCAAGTCAACTATGTTTAAATACCGGAAAATCTAAATTCAAAACAAAGAAGAATGTTAACGTTCACAGGATTAAACAACAATATTCGTCTCTAAAACACTCGGTATCTTCAAATGTAATATTTAACGAAAAGAGTAGCTTTCCACAGCAACTTTTTTTAAAAGCTGTTTTTACAATTGACTCTTACTACTGTATTAAGACTCTTACTCTTCATACATTAGGGAATTGTATTAAGAGTGCTATAAAAATATTAGCTGGATTAATAAGATGAACGACTCTATTTTGTTTCTGCTAACAATTACTCCGCTTATTTTGCTTAGATTCTATACAAGTACCACGCGTGCGCATGAGGGAGTGCTGGAAACCGGAAGAGCAGTTGCCGTTGTGGTCCGCCAGCAGCCTGCGGAGCTGGCAGCGGAGTTGGACATTGAGGAGGCTGGGGAGGAACATGGGCCAGTCCTGGAGGCTGGGGAAGGCTCGGACGAGGGCTCTGCGTCGGAGGCAGAGATGGGGTCAGGGCCATCTGGGAGTTATGCGTGGACTCCGGAGCCTCCAGAGTCTGACGTCAGTGAGGCAGAGGAACAGAAGGAGCCCGTTCTTAGTGCACTCATGCGCAGAGCTGCCAGAAGGCAAGAACAGTTAAAACTAAAGGGACGACTCAGGAGTAAGGCGTGGAGATGATTGGCCCCTCCCATGAAGCTTAAAAGAGGAGCAAAGGCACATGGGCCCTTTGCAGGAAAGCAACGTTGATTCTGGACTTCTTGGCTTTGCCAAGTAGGTCTTAGGCAGCATGTCAAGGGCAATAAAGGTTGGTGATTATCCTGAAGGACTTCTTCCGAAGGACTTTTTGCAACTAATTGGGACTCGGCTGTGAACGAACGTAATTCACAGCTGTTGCAATAAAAGAGGTTTGATGGGACTACTCGTGTGTTTTAATGACTCAGGCAGCCTAGATCACAACTGTTGCCCAGCACACATGCATGCACTGAGAGGCTGAGCTTCCCATTTCCGTTGTGCGCATGCATGCTGGTCACCCAGTCTTCCGGTTTCTGGCACGGATGTGCACGTAAAGCTGGGCCGGGAAGCTCAGCTCAGCTTCCTGGCGCACGCATGCATCCCAGGGAAGTGCTCTTCCGGTTTCCGGCGTTCCCGCATGCGCAAAACCAGCTGGCCGCAGCGCATGTGCGCACTGGAACTTGTAAGAGTAACGGGCAACCTAGAGAGATGGCTCTTCGTGCCACTTCCGGTACGCGTGCCATAGGTTTGCCAACACAGCCCTATACCCACAATTTCTGGAGGCAAGTCATTCCACTGATTACTGTTGCAAACTGGTAGTAAAGGTAAGTAGAACCCACGCCGATCCATTGCTTCTTGTCCTGCCCTCAGATGCTTTGGAGAACAGCTTGACTCCCTCTTCTTTGTGGCAGCCCCTGAGATATTGGAACACTGCCCCTAGTCCTTCTTTTCATTAAACTGGACATACTCAATTCCTGCAACTGTTCTTCATATGTTTTAGCCTCCAGTCCCCTAATCATCTTTGTTGCTCTTCTCTGCACTCTTTCCAGAGTCTCAACATCATTTTTTACAGGTAGTCCTCAATTTATGACAACTGAGCCAGTGGTGAAATGTAAAATTTACTACCTGTTCTGTGGGTGTGGCTTGGCGGGGGGGAGGTAATGTGACTGGATGGGCATGGCCAACTTTTTTTTTTAACTTTTAAAGCATTTTTTCTACAACCTCTTCGGCCGAGGAGGTTGTAGAAAAATGCTTTTAAAAGCCTCTGACGATCCCAGCTGAGCCGCGCGATCATCAGAGGCTTTTTTTTTTTAATTATTATTTTTAAAAGCATTTTTTCAGCAGAAGAGGTTGTAGAAAAAAATGCTTTTAAAAGTTTTTTTAAAAAAGCCTCTGATGATCGCGCTGCTCAGCTGGGCATGGGGGGGGGCACAGGGATTTTTGCTACCGGTTCTCCGAACCACCCGCCGCCATTGCTACCGGATCGGGCGAACTTTGTTGAGTTTTGCACCATTTTACGACTTTTCTCACCACATTTGTTAAGTGCGGTTCTTAAGTCAGTAATGCGGTTGTTAAGTGAATCTGGCTTCCCCATGATCTTTGCTTGTCAGAAGGTCGTAAGAGGGGGATCCCCTGATGTCAGAACACTGCAAACGTCATAAGTGTGAGTCAGTTGTCAAGCATCCGAATGTAAATCACGTGACCATGGGGATGCTGCAATGGTCATAAGGGTGAACAACGGTCATAAATCACTTTTTTTCAGTGCCGTTGCAACTTTGAACGGTCACTAAATAAACCGTTGTAAGTCGGGCTTTCTGTATATTGTGCCAACCAAAACTGGGAGCAATATTCCAAGTGTGGTCTTACCAAGGCGTTATAAACAGGGGTGGGGCTGCTGGGGGTTCACAGGGGTTCGGGAGAACCTCTAGCTAAGAGTCTGTGCAGTTCGGAGAACCCCCAAATCCCACTCCTGGCTGGCCCCGCCCACCCTGCCCCGCCTCTCCCAGGAGTCCCCATGCGGTCTGCTTTGGATGCAGGTAAGTGCAGGGCTTATCTGCATGAGGCTCGGAGAGAGGTCTACTGGAAGTTCGGGAAGGGCCTCTGGAGCCTGGGGAGGCCGTTTTCGTCCTCCTGGAGGCTCAAGAAAAGCCTCCGGAGCCTGGGGAGGGCAAAAATGCCCCCCCCCACCATGGTGCAGGAGGCCGACTAGGTGGGTTCTAACGGGCTTTACTACCGGTTCTCTTTGTGCACGTGCTTTGGCACGCGATCGCCTCTTCACTTCGCTCGTATGCATGCCAAACTTGCGCTTTGCGCAAGCGCATTGCGAATCTGTCCAGCTGAGGTGCGGCAATCCGCTCTGCTGCACCTCTCAGCTGGGCAAAAAAAGAAGAGATATAAGGTCGGAATAACGTGGGGGCGGGAGGGAGGGCCCAGCTCCCGAAGAAAGAGAACCAGTTCGGTGACGTAATAGCGTCACCGCTACGGCTCGGCCGAACCGGGCTAAACCGGGAACAACCCACCACTGGGCCACGCCCACCATTGCCACGTCCACCCAGCAAACCAGGCAGAGAACCCCTTGTATAAATTTTTGAAGCCAACCCCTGGTTATAAAGTGGTATTAACATTTCACATGATCTTTATTACAGTAAACAGACAAACAACCTGGGCTAATGGTTGCATGGGCATCTTGGTAAAATATTCTCGGCCTGATTTCGTATGGAATGTAGGTAACTCTTCAAACATATGTTTGGGTGGGGCACTCGAGCGGCGTCTCTCTGAATGTCGCCTGTCACGGGCTTCAGGTAGAACAAAAATTAATTCCTCGGATTCCAACACAGGCTGCAAAATATAGATATATAATATGAGTCTCAGGGTTTTTTTTTATCCAAATGGTCGTGCAATCGGTCTGGCAAAACCTAATTAAGGAAAAAAACATGTGAATAGAATGGAATAGAATAGAATAGAATAGAATAGAACAGAACAGAACAGAACAGAACAGAACAGAACAGAACAGAATAGAACAGAATAGAATAGAATAGAACAGGGTAGGGTAGGGTAGGGTAGGGTAGGGTAGGGTAGGGTAGGGTAGAATAGAATAGAATAGAATAGAATAGAATAGAATAGAATAGAATAGGGTAGGGTAGGGTAGGGTAGGGTAGGGTAGGGTAGGGTAGGGTAGGGTAGGGTAGAGTAGAATAGAATAGAATAGAATAGAATAGAATAGAATAGAATAGAGTAGAGTAGAGTAGAGTAGAGTAGAGTAGAGTAGAGTAGTAGAATAGAATAGAGTAGGGTAGGGTAGGGTAGGGTAGGGTAGGGTAGGGTAGGGTAGGGTAGGGTAGAATAGAATAGAATAGAATAGAATAGAATAGAATAGAATAGAATAGAATAGAATAGAATAGAATAGGGTAGGTAGGGTAGGGTAGGTAGGGTAGGGTAGGGTAGGGTAGGGTTGGTAGAGTAGAATAGAATAGAATAGAATAGAATAGATAGAATAGAATAGAGTAGAGTAGAGTAGAGTAGAGTAGAGTAGAGTAGAGTAGGGTAGGGTAGGGTAGGGTAGGGTAGGGTAGAGTAGAGTAGGGTAGGGTAGGGTAGATAGAATAGAATAGAATAGAATAGAATAGAATAGAATAGAATAGAATAGAATAGAATAGAATAGAACAGAATAGAACAGAACAGAACAGAACAGAACAGAATAACAGAGTTGGAAGGGATCTTGGAGATCTTCTAGTCCAGCCTCCTGCCTGATCAAACAGGAGACCCTATATCAGTGATGGCTAACCTTTTTGCCATCGCGTGCCAGGAGCGGGGGGAGCACGGAGGAGTCGCGCGCATGCGTGCCCACACCCATAATACTATGCGCCCCGCCCCCGTGCCATGCACGCACGACCCCCCCCCCCACGCTCCCCTTGGCACGTGATGGCCCAGTGGGCCCGGTAGGCCTGTTTTTCTCTCCCCTCAGGCTCCAGAGCCTTTCTAGGAGTCTGGGGAGGGCAAAAACGGCCTTCCCTACCCCGCCAGAGGCCGGAAACAGCCCATTTGCTGACTTCCGGTGGGACTGATGATCAGATGATCAGTCGGATTTAAGACTGAGATACGTAACATGTAGCATAATGCAATAATATATAATCATCTGCAGTAATAAATTGCTTAGCAACAGAAATTTGCTAAGTAGTCTATGGAATGGGATGGAAGGATAGGTACTGACTCTATGGAATGGGATGGAAAGGTAGGTACTGACTCTATGGAATAGGATGGACGGATAGGTACTGAATGGAAGGCTATATACTCTATGGAATGGGATGGAAAGAGAGGTAGTGACTATGGAATGGGATGGAGGATAGGTACTGACTCTATGGAATGGGATGGACGGATAGGTACTGAATGGAAGGCTATATACTCTATGGAATGGGATGGAAAGAGAGGTACTGACTATGGAATGGGATGGAAGGATAGGTACTGACTCTATGGAATGGGATGGAAAGATAGGTACTGACTCTATGGAATGGGATGGAAAGAGAGGTACTGACTATGGAATGGGATGGAAAGATAGGTACTGATTCTACGGAATGGGATTAACGGATCAGTACTGAATGGAAGGCTATATACTCTATGGAATGGGATGGAAGGATAGGTACTGACTCTATGGAATGGGATGGAAAGATGGGTACTGACTCTATGGAATGGGATGGAAGGATAGGTACTGACTCTATGGAATGGGATGGAAAGATGGGTACTGACTCTATGGAATGGGATGGAAGGATAGGTACTGACTCTATGGAATGGGATGGAAAGATGGGTACTGACTCTATGGAATGGGATGAACAGATCGGTACTGAATGGAAGGCTTTATGCTCTATGGAATGGGATGGAAGGAAAGGTATTGACTCTATGGAAGAGGATGGAAGGATAGGTACTGACTCTATGGAATGGGATGGAAAGATGGGTACTGACTCTATGGAATGGGATTAACGGATCAATACTGAATGGAAGGCTATATACTCTATGGAATGGGATGGAAGGATAGGTACTGACTCTATGGAATGGGATGGAAGGATAGGTACTGACTCTATGGAATGGGATGGAAAGATGGGTACTGACTCTATGGAATGGGATGGAAGGATAGGTACTGACTCTATGGAATGGGATGGAAAGATGGGTACTGACTCTATGGAATGGGATGAACGGATCGGTACTGAATGGAAGGCTATATACTCTATGGAATGGGATGGAAGGAAAGGTATTGACTCTATGGAAGAGGATGGAAGGATAGGTACTGACTCTATGGAATGGGATGGAAAGATGGGTACTGACTCTATGGAATGGGATGGAAAGATGGGTACTGACTCTATGGAATGGGATTAACGGATCAGTACTGAATGGAAGGCTATATACTCTATGGAATGGGATGGAAGGATAGGTACTGACTCTATGGAATGGGATGTTAAGATGGGTACTGACTCTATGGAATGGGATGGAAGGATAGGTACTGACTCTATGGAATGGGATGGAAAGATGGGTACTGACTATGGAATGGGATGGAAAGATAGGTACTGATTCTACGGAATGGGATTAACGGATCAGTACTGAATGGAAGGCTATATACTCTATGGAATGGGATGGAAGGAAAGGTATTGACTCTATGGAAGAGGATGGAAGGATAGGTACTGACTCTATGGAATGGGATGGACGGATAGGTACTGAATGGAAGGCTATATACTCTATGGAATGGGATGGAAAGAGAGGTAGTGATTATGGAATGGGATGGAAGGATAGGTACTGACTCTATAGAATGGGATGGAAAGATAGGTACTGACTCTACGGAATGGGATGGAAAGAGAGGTACTGACTATGGAATGGGATGGAAAGATAGGTACTGATTCTACGGAATGGGATTAACGGATCAGTACTGAATGGAAGGCTATATACTCTATGGAATGGGATGGAAGGATAGGTACTGACTCTATAGAATGGGATGGAAAGATAGGTACTGACTCTACGGAATGGGATGGAAAGAGAGGTACTGACTATGGAATGGGAAGGAAAGATAGGTACTGATTCTACGGAATGGGATTAACGGATCAGTACTGAATGGAAGGCTATATACTCTATGGAATGGGATGGAAGGATAGGTACTGACTCTATGGAATGGGATGGAAAGATGGGTACTGACTCTATGGAATGGGATGGAAGGATAGGTACTGACTCTATGGAATGGGATGGAAAGATGGGTACTGACTCTATGGAATGGGATGAACGGATCGGTACTGAATGGAAGGCTATATACTCTATGGAATGGGATGGAAGGAAAGGTATTGACTCTATGGAAGAGGATGGAAGGATAGGTACTGACTCTATGGAATGGGATGGACGGATAGGTACTGAATGGAAGGCTATATACTCTATGGAATGGGATGGAAAGAGAGGTAGTGATTATGGAATGGGATGGAAGGATAGGTACTGACTCTATAGAATGGGATGGAAAGATAGGTACTGACTCTATGGAATGGGATGGAAAGAGAGGTACTGACTATGGAATGGGATGGAAAGATAGGTACTGATTCTACGGAATGGGATTAACGGATCAGTACTGAATGGAAGGCTATATACTCTATGGAATGGGATGGAAGGATAGGTACTGACTCTATGGAATGGGATGGAAGGATAGGTACTGACTCTATGGAATGGGATGGAAAGATGGGTACTGACTCTACTATGGAATGGGATGGAAAGAGAGGTAGTGACTATGGAATGGGATGGAAGGATAGGTACTGACTCTATGGAATGGGATGGAAGGATAGGTACTGACTCTATGGAATGGGATGGAAAGATGGGTACTGACTCTATGGAATGGGATGGAAAGAGAGGTACTGACTATGGAATGGGATGGAAAGATGGGTACTGACTCTATGGAATGGGATGAACGGATCGGTACTGAATGGAAGGCTATATACTCTATGGAATGGGATGGAAGGATAGGTATTGACTGTATGGAATAGGATGGAAGGATAGGTACTGACTCTATGGAATGGGATGAACGGATTGGTACTGAATGGAAAGCTATATACTCTATGGAATGGGATGGAAGGAAAGGTACTGACTTTATGGAACGGAAGGATACGTATTGACTCTATGATGCCAGGAGATGGGAGGAAGGATAGTCAGCATCATAACTGATGAAGCTTCTTGGATGAGAAGGGAAACATTTCATTCTTCCCCAAGTGGGAGGGGCGGGGGGAAAACACTGTCCAGTTGCCTTTTGGAACAAAAAGAAAAAGCACCTTTGAGACATTTTGCCTGCCATTTCTTTGGAATTGCAAACATGCGCACAAGCCTAAAACCGCCACCTCATTTCACATTAGGGAAAGATAGAAGATCATTTCCACCAATCTGTGGGGTGAAAAAGACTTCGGAGATGCACGCTGTAGATAAGGGAAGTTAGGATCTTTCATCGAAATGTTTTCAAAGATACAAAAATAAAATCCCAGAATCGCTGGGCGAAGGAATGCAATTTTTGAGGTGGAGGAAAATCAAGGAACACAATGTCGTGGCGAAGAATGAAAGCCAAGGAAGAAGGAGAGAGATGAGTCATGAAAACGCAGCTGGTTCATCAAGAAACTTTTCTCTCTCCTTTTTTTTTTTTGCATCTTCTAAAACCCTTGAGGAAAAACAGAAGGAAAGCCGGCAAAATTTAACGACCTCCCGAAAACATCATTAAAGGAATTAGTAGTGAATCCTGAGCTGCAGTTCAAACAAGGGTAACGTTTAATGCTGAGTGAAACAAAGCTATTAGACCTTGGAAGATGTTCATCGGGAACCACCCCAGTTCTGAGTTCCTATTTCCTATTGCATTCTACAGGGAGTCCTCGAGTTACGGCCACCAATGAGCCCAAAATTTCCGCGGCTAAGCGAGACAGCCGTTACATGAGCTTTGCTCCATTTTATGAACCCCTTTTTTTTTGCCACAGTTGTTACGCGAATCACTGAAATTGTTAAAGAGAATCGAATAGTGCAACAGAAATCATGGGCTCAATTGCGGTTGTAACTCAAGGACTACCTGACTGCAGGTAGTCCTTGACTTACAACAGCTCGTTTAGTGACTGTTTGTAGTTACAGTGGCACCAAAAACAGTACGACTGTTTTTCACACTTACGACAGTTGCAGCATTCCTGTGGTGAGATGATCAAAATTCAGACACTTGCCAACTGACTCATATTTATGACGGTTACAGTGCCCCGGGGTCATGCGATCACCTTTTGAGACCTTCTGACAAGCAAAGTCAATGGGGAAGCCAGATTCACTTAACAACCGTGTTACCAACTTAACAACTGCAGTGATTCATTTAACAACTGTGGCAAGAAGGGTCATAAAATGGGATAAAATTCTCTTAATATCATTTAGCAATAGAAATTTTGGGCTACTTTGTGGCCGTAACTCGAGGACTATCTGTATATTACATTTAATTAATCAATTAAACGGCTTAATCAGTAGCGGTTAACTTTGGTGGTTAAAGATAGCAAATGAAAATAGATTTAAAAATGAATTTATGTCAACGCTTCTTTTGGAAAGCACAACACAAAGTAAAATATTCTTACCTCAATAGATTTTTTAGGCTTTTTGCTTACAATAATAGATTTACGCCAGGCCTTAAACACCACTTTCTTCAAAACTTTGTTGAAGATTTTTTCCATTTGTTTTACTGCTCCTAGGGGAAAATAATTTGAGAAACACAGTATTTTTATTTTTATTTTTTGAAATTTGCAGTGCTGTTTGGTTCACATAAAGAAGACGGCTTAATAAGTAAGTGTATTGGTCTTTTAACTCCATTTCTCTATAAAGATAAATACAAGGAAATGGTTTTCATTCCAATCTGACTTTGCTCAATCAAAAGGTAAAATCGTAGTTCCACCCAAGCATTTTTTTTTAACTAGGGTGAGCCAAATTTTAAAGTAGTTTTACGAACGATATTAGATATAAAAATAGACCATAGTGATATATGTTTTAGCAGATATTCTAATATTAATTTGGCTTTTAAAAAGACCCCTATATCAAAATGGCGCTGATTTAATGGTTCAGGCACAATATTATGGCAGTCTTTTAAATGGAAGCCTCAACACATTGTAAACAGAATAAAAATTCAGATGTGACAGCAATAACTAAATCTGCAATCGTATATACCAGCGATGGCTAACCTTTTTGGTGTCGCGTGCCAAAAGTGGGAGCACGGGGAGGGGGGGGTCACGCGCACACGTGCCCACACCCATAATTCAATGTGCCCCACCCTCCTGCGCATGCACACGCGACCCCCCGCGCGACCCCCATGTGATGGCCCAGTAGGCCCATTTTTTTTGCCCTCCCCAGGCTCCAGAGGCTTTCTAGGAGCCTGGGGAGGGTGAAAACGGCCTTCCCCACCACCCTAGAGGCCCTCCAGAGGCCAGAAACAGCCCATTTCCCAACGTCCGGTGGGCCCGGAAGGCCGGAAAATCAGGTGGCTGGCACATGCATGCACGCTGGAGCTGAGCTAGGGCAACGCTCGCGTGCCCACAGATATGGCTCCGCATGCCACATGTGGCACGCGTGCCATAGGTTCGCCATCACGGCTATATACCGACCTACCTAGATACAAGATTCATTGCGAGCAGTTATTGAATTAATTGACACGATTTGTAAAAATTTCTTCAGGTATATTCAAAATGTACCAATTATTTAAGGAAAATGACAAAAGGTCACAACGGGTCCAAAATATGAGGCACCAGGCTAGAAAACGGGAGGCTGTGAGTTCTGGTCCCACCTTGGACCCAAAAGCCAGCTGGGTGAATTTGGGCCATTCTCTCCATCTCAGTCCAACCTACCTCACAGAGTTGTCGTTGTGGGGAAAACAGGAGGAGGAAGGTGCGTTGCATATGTTTGTGGCTTTGAATTACAGGTAGTCCTCAACTTATGACCACAATTACTATTACTATTACTATTACTACTACTACTACTACTATTATTATTATTATTATTATTATATTTATATTCATAAGCATTTTGAATACGGATGTATTGTCAGGGTATACCATTTACAAAAAAAAAAGAAGGATCAGAGAAAAGACAGTAATAAATATTAACACATGTACTGATAACAATAGTAATAATATATTAACATATGTACTGATAACAATAGTGATAATATAACCAAGTGATTTTAACTAAGTTTCTTTTTGTATTAGCTTATTTGCATTTTTGTTCAGTATATTAGCAGGCTTGTTTTTATAAACCACCTCTATTTTTAATACATACATTCATAATCTTTCTTCCTCTAATTTCTACCTTTTATCTCTAACCACTCATAAAACCTATTCCATATCAGATAATATTCTGTGTCTTCTTCATCTTTTATTTTTAAAGTTCATCTGTCCATTTCAGCACCGTCTAAAATTTTTCGAATTACATCCTCATCTGGCGGGGTGTTCTCATTTTTCCAGTTTTTTTGCAAATACAATCCTTGCTGCTGTCAATATGTGCAAAATTAAATATGTGGTCCCTTTATCTTAACACTCTGGCATTATGCCCAACAAATATACTTCTGGTTATGACCACAACTGAGCCCAACTTTTCTCTTGTTAAGTGAGACATTTGTAAAGTGAATTTCGCCCCTTTTTACAACCTGCCTCACTGCGGTTGTTAACTCTGGATCTAAGATTGGGAATCAAAGATTGCTCGCTCACGATTCTTCGTGACGGTGGAGTGAGACTTTGAACAGGAAGTTAATAAACTGGACGAAGATATGGGATTTATTTTATTTATTTTATTTTATTTATTGGTTCAATTTATATGCCGCCCTTTTCCGGAGACTCAGGGCGGTTTACAATGCGTTAAGAAATAGCCTTCATACTTTTGTATATACCTGCTTAGTAGGGCTTTCACTCCCCCTCCAGCGGTGTTCTTTTTTTATATACAAAGTCAGCTTATTGCCCCCACAAACCGGGTCCTCATTTTACCTACCTCGAAAGAATGGAAGGCTGAGTCAACCTTGAGCCTGGTGAGATTTGAATGTGCAGTTTTATCTAGCCATTTTATCAATGGCTAGATAATAAAACATGGAAATGAAATATGAAATACAAAATAGATGTTATAATACAATTTATGGAATTGATTTTAATGGAATGAAATTGTTAAATGAATGACAAATGAGAATAATGATATAAAGATATATGTTGGATTGATAATGCGAGAAATTAGAGAATTTGTAAAGATGAATATGAGACGAAGCACAAAAGATTTGTAACCGACCGACACGCTGCTTGTAATTGGAATGGATGATGGAAGTTTTTATGTTTTGTTTAAAAATAAAAAACTTTAAAAAAATAAAAAAATAAATAAACCGGACGAAGCAGTGAAAGCAATCTTTAGAAAAATGCTTATCGGTTCGCTCGTTTCTGCACCAGGTCTAACGGCAGAAACTCTCAAAATCATTGCAGATGATACAAAGCTGTGTGGTTTTGGCAAACATCCTAAACAACAGCAGCGGCATTCGAAACGCTTCTGATAAATTAGAACAGTGGGCTGAAAAAAAACGAGAGAATAACAACATTTTGGAAAGGTCTGCCAATAGGAAAAGGATAGAAATTGCGTAGCCAAAGATGGGGAAAACCTGGCTTCATAACAATGTGTGTGAAAAGTACCCTTAATTTGTGGTTGGACACGGAAGTGGGCTTCACATATTGTATCAACCGGTGTGCCCAGCACCGGAAATGTGAGCACGCGTGCATGCCGAGTCCACACATGCGTGCAGCGTCACAAAACATGGCAACTTGCTCGCGTGCACTATCCACACATGCATGCAACATCAAACAACATGGACATTTGCTTGTGCACGCCGTCCATGCATGCGTGCGGTTTCAGAAACACAGCAATATAGGACGGGAATTGTGTCCGGGTGGTGTTATGGCCCGTCAGCGGCCTGTGCAGATTGTAGCTGATTCCGACAGCAAGGAGGCTGGTGTGGTGCTGCGCCAGCAACCTGTGCAGTTGGCACCCAAGTCAGACAACGAGGAGGCTGGAGAAGATGTGGTGCCAGAGGCGGGGATTCAGCCAGGGCCTTCAGAACCTCCAGAAGCTCCTTTAAGTGAAGAGGACGAAGTGGAGGAGCCTCTTCTCGATGCACGGGCACGCAGAGCTGCCAAAAGGCAGGAGTGGCTCCTCAGGAGGAGGCCTCCTCGAGAGTAGGGCTTGGGGCTAATTGGCCACTCCCTTAGCCTATTTAAGGAGGAATGCCGACTGAAGCAATTTGTAGGGAACAACTTTAGTTCATTCTCTTTCGCGTCTGGATTCTCTGCAAATTGCTTCTGAGCTTTCTGCCCAGAATCACAATCCTTAGTAAGATTGTGATTAATTTATCTTTGTTTTCTTGTAGGCTGTTAAGGAAGTTTATTAACAGCCTTTGTTTGGAAAAGACTGAGTTATTTTAGTAAATTTAAGTTTTGTATAAACTTTGTGTGTGCTGTGTCTTTGGGATCCGTAGCTGGGGCAGAACAGGCGGTTGGGCGGGCCACCCGCAGGTCGCTCCTACCGGTTCGCCTGAACTGATCCAAACCGGCTGAATCCCACCACTGGTTGGACAGAAAGGCACCTGAAGCACCGTGATGGAAACCTAAAGCCAATTTTCATTAAGGATACCACAGGGATGTCCAACCTTGGCAACTTTAAGACCTAGGGACTTCAACTCCCAGAATTCCCCAGCCAGCCTGGAAATGAGGGGTCCTTGGTACTCTTTGAACTTGGATGCTTTCTTGAAGATGTTTCATTACCCAGACTAAGTAACATCATCCATGCTAGCACAAATCGCCAGTCTGATGTTAATCTTGGTGTTAATCTACGCTCATCTGGGTGCCGATTGCTGATGGAGGGGTGTTTTGGGGTTTTTGTTCCCTTTTTGGTTTGTTGACAGTCTCTTTTGTGTAGTATTTGGGTATTTTTTATGTCTAACATCAGACCAACAATTTTAGTAAGTAATACCCCAATCAAGGAACTGCCAAACAAGCTCACAGTAAAAAGCCCAAATAAAAGAACCTCCAATACATGCCACTAGAATATAAATTGAGAGCAAACCCCATTCCCTTCTGGCACTGATGATGCCACCTAGTTTGGGTAATGAAACATCTGGAAGGAAAAAAAGCAAGCTGAGAGAGCAACAAAGACCCCCCAGACCTCCTCCTCCTCCTCCTCCTCCTCCTCCTCCATTCCACAAGCCCTACTCCCTTCTAGCACTGATGATGCCACCTAGTTTGGGTAATGAAACATCTGGAAGGAAACAACCAAGCTCAGAGAGCACCAAGGCTCCCTCATTTCAAACCTGACCTACAAATATTTTCCTTTATGGGCTGGGGAATTCTAGGAGTTGTAAGTCCACAAGTCTTAAAGTTGCCAAGCTTGGACACCCCTGCTGTAGAAGTTCTTACAAACTCTTTTTAGCTAGTTAAAAATCCCTGGCTAAATAAATCTGCAAAACAAACTTGTAGTAGCATTTAGTTCAAATTTTAGGTAGATAATTTATAAACTAGATGCAGGAGGTAGATTACATCAGCAGATAATGTGCTGCTTAGGATTTGACAAAATACGATTCTGTTCTTGAATTCATAAACATATCATTGTTTAAATATTTATAAAGAGGAGTTATTAAACAACAGCAATAACAACAACCATGTTTGGTTAAATGCTATATTATGAATCCAGTCCTCCAACAGAATTATGTATTTTTTTTATTGAAGACAGATCCAGCAAGCAACAGAGCATATACAAATGCATTTTTCACTTGCTAAAATAGGCTCCCTCTTTTTTTTTAAACTAGCGTTTTATTTTTCTGCTATTAAGACCAAAAATAGTATTTTTATTTTAGCAGTAAATACAATCATGCATTAGCCATATGCATATAATTGCAAGCCATATGTTAGGTTTACAGGTAATCCTCAACTTAAAACAGTTCATTTAGTTCATAGTTACAATGGCTCTGAAAAAAATGACCATTTTTCACTCTTACGACCATTACAACAACCTCATGGTCATGTGATCAAAATTCAGATGCTTGGCAACTGACTCATATTTATGACGGTTGCAGAGTCCCAGGGTCATGTGATCTGCCAAGCCAAGCCAATAGGCTAACCAGATTCACTTTATCTATGTTACAAATTCAACAACTGCAGTGTTTCGCTTAACAACTATGGCAAGACGGGTCGTAACATACGGCAAAACTCACTTAACAAATGTCTCCCTTAGCAACAGAAATTTTGAGCTCAATAGTGGTCATAAGTTGAGGACTACCTGTACATGACCAGCTAAGATTTCCATGTCCCCCCAATTGGCAGAAAGAGTAAAGGTAAAGGTAAAGGTTCCTTTCGCATATATGTGCTGGTCGTTCCCGACTCTAGGGGGCGATGCTCATCTCCATTTTAAAGCCGAAGAGCCAGCACTGTCCGAAGACGTCTCCATGATCATGTGGCCAGCATGACTCAATGCCAAAGGCGCACGGAACGCTGTTACCTTCCCACCAAAGGTGGTCCCTATTTTTCTACTTGCATTTTTTACGTGCTTTCGAACTGCTAGGTTGGTAGAAGGTGGGACAAGTCACGGGAGCTCACCCCGTTACGTGGCGCTAGGGATTCGAACCGCTGAACTGCCGACCTTTCGATCGACAAGCTCGAAAGAGTAGACTAGATTTAATTTTCGTTTGAATGACATTCTTGCTTCACCTGTGCAGGTGAAACAAACATTCTCATTTAAATATATTTAAATCTGCTAAAACACGCAACAGTCCAGGATTTGAAACTTAACACAATGCAACTGACCTCTGGGGACTCCCATAGAATTGAAATTCCATCAAACATTTTATGACATAGTACAAAATGTCATGAAATATTTCCTTTGGCCAGCTCCTGAAATAGCATGGGCTCCATTCAAGGCAGATGCATCTCTGAAGAGGACCCAGAATATTAGAAGCTCAACATTGTTGAAGGCATTGAGGAATCCAATAAAGGTAGTCCTTGATTTACGTCAACCCTGAAGCTGACCTGACTTGAGGCCATTTTGAGGCTTCAGGGCTGCCACAATTGGAGCTAAGGGATAGGAAGGAGGGAGAGTAGAGATAGCTGGGGTTTTGTAGCCAAAACAAAATACTTTCTCTTGAGAATTATCCTGCTGGAGATGGAACGTTCTGAATTCTATTTAAGATTCCAAAACATAGAAGAAGAAAAAGGAGAAAATTTACCAGAGGTAATTGTAGAGATTTTGGCTGAAGCCTTGGAATTGCCTCGGAGTTTGTTTGCTGTGGGTAGGTAACCCTGACAATTGCAACAGTTTGTTTAGTGACCATTCGAAGTTACAATGGCACTGAACAAAGTAATTTATGACATTTTTTTTCACACTTATGAAGGAGAAATCCCCATGGTCACAATGTCCAAATTCAGATACTTGGCAACGGGTTCTGTTCTGCCCCAGCTACAGACCTCAAAGAACGCAGCACACACAAAATCCATTCAAACCTTAGTTTATTGAATAAACCAGTCTTTTACAACAACGGCTGTTAATTAATTGCATTAACAGCCGCCAAGAATTCAAAGAATAATAACTGAAAGTTTACTATAGTTGGCAGAATGCCCAGAAGCAATTTGCAGGAAGCTGATAAGATAAACAAGACAAGACACGAAGGTATGTGAACTAAGTTGTTCCCTGAAAATTGCTTCAGTCGGCGTTCCTCCTTAAATAGGCTAAGGGAATGGCCAATTAGCCCCAAGCCTTACTCTCAAGGAGACCTCCTCCTGAGGAACCCACTCCTCCTTTTGGCAGCTCTGTGTGCCCTTGCATCGAGAAGAGGCTCCTCCTCTTCATCCTCTTCACTTAAGGAAGCTTCTGGAGGTTCTGAAGGCCCTGGCTGAATCCCCGCCTCTGGCACCACATCTTCTCCAGCCTCCTCATTGTCTGACTCGAGTGCCAGCTGCACAGGCTGCTGGTGCAGCATCACATCAGCCTCCTTGCTGTCTGAATCAGCTACTAGCTGCGCAGGCCACGTACAGGCCACAACAGGTTCCTATTTATGACGGTTGAAATCTCCCAGAGTCAAGTGTCCTTCTTTTGCGACCTTCTGACAAGCAAAGTCAATGGGGAAGCCAGGTTCACTTAACAACCATGTTACTAACTTAAACAGGTACAGTGATCCACTTAACAACCATGGCAAGAAAGGTCGTAACATACGGCAAAATTCACTTAGCACCTATCTCACTTAGCAACAGGAATTTTGGGCTCCATTGTGGTCGTAAGTCCAGAAGTTCCTGTAAGCAAATATCTGTGAAACCCGTTGTCTACTTATTATTATCAATATCATATTCTTACGTTGGTGTATTGCTTTCTGAGAATTCACCCATTCACACCATTTCCTCATCGTTAATTGTAGTAGCTTGCAGTCATAGTAGTGCCTTGCGGCGGCCAATTTTTTCTGTAGGAGTTCTTCCGCTGCTTTCTTGTCCTCACAATATCTGATCCATGCGCTGCAAGGGTTGAGCAACGATAAACGATGCATTAAAAGTTTTTAAACCTCTGCTTCCTTTGAAACATCAAACTGCAATCGAATAAGCCCTCCGTTTGATCGCATTAAAATATTTTGCTTTTAAACAAACAAACAAAAAAAAAAAACAGGCAGTCCTCGAAGTTGCAAAGATTGCAAGTAGAAAAACGGACCTCGGACACTTTTTTTTCAGTGCCACTGTAACTTCAAACGGTCACTAAATGAATGATTGTAAGTCGGGGACTACCTGTATTCTGTCACGACGAAGAAGAATCGATACGGTGGATTTGTGATCAATCAACGTTAACCAACCTCGGGAGACAAAGAAAAGTTGGCAGAGGTGTAAGACCACATCTGGAATGCTGCATCCAGTTTTGGTCACCACACTATAAAAAAAGATGTTGAGACTCTGGAAAGAGTGCAGAGAAGAGCAACAAAGATGATTAGGGGACTGGAGGTTAAAAGATATGAAGAACGGTTGCAGGAACTGGGCATGGCTAGTCTAGTGAAGAGAAGGACCAGGGGAAACATGATAGCAGAGTTCCAATATTTGAAGGGCTGCCACAGAGAAGAGGGGGGGGGTCAAGCTATTTTCCAAAGCACCTGAAGGCCAAACAAGGAATAATGGATGGAAACTGAACAAGGAGAGATTCAACCTGGAAATAAGGAGGGATTTTCCGACAGTGAGATCAACCAATGGAACAGAAGTTGCCTTCAGAAGTTGCGGGAGTGTTATTTTCTGATCTCCACTGTGGATATTCCTGGTTGTATGTGTGAAAGAAGCCTGGTATGTTTCCATTGGTTTTAGTGGTTACCTCAATAAACTAATCCTTAAAGACTATTATTCTCCAAAACACCAGAGGGCAGGACAAGAAACATTAGGTTGGAAACTAATCAAAGAGAGAAGCAACCTGGAATTAAGGAGAAACTTCCTAACAGTGAGGACAATTAACCAGTAGAACAGTTTCATCGTCATCATCTTCTTTTAACGACCCCATAATCTCTTGCGGGGTGGAGTCTTGACAACTGAATGGAGCTAGCAGAGTGCTTATTGGCCGGATGCCCTTCCTGTCGCCAGTGCGGAGTTATATTCAGCCGATATATTCTCATTGTGCCGAGAGAGAGAAATATCTGCCTCTACCTAGGATCAAACTCATAGCCTCCTGATTGTGAGGCAAGAACTCCAACCCTAGGCCACTGCACCACTCTTAACCAGTGGAACAGCTTGCCTCCAGAAATTGTGGGCGCTTCATCACTGGAGGTTTTTAAGAAGAGTGTAGACCCATGATGGCGAACCTATGGTAGGCGTGCCACAGCTGGCACGCGGAGCCATATCTGTGGGCACACAAGCGTTGCCCTAGCTCAGCTTCAGCGCATATGCGCACACCAGCCAGCTGATTTCGGGCCTTCTGGGCCCACCGGAAGTCAGGAAACAGGCCGTTTACGGCCTCCAGAGAGCCTCCAGGGGGATGGCGGAGGCCATTTTTGCCCTCCCCAGGGTCCTAGAAAGCCTCTGGAGCTGGGGAGGGCAAAAAATAGGCCTACCGGGTCCACCGGTAACCTTTTTGCCGTCGCGTGCCAAAAGAGGGGAGAGCGCGGGGGATTGTGCATGCATGTGGGGGGGCACCGGGGGCATTGAATTATGGGTGTGGGCATGCATGTACACGATCCCCCTGCGCTCCCTCCGCTTTTGGCACACGATGGGAAAAAGGTTCACCATCGCTGGTCTAGACAGTCACTTTGTTGTGGCTCCGTTACCGGAGCCTGTGTCATTATCAGGAGAGGACTCCGAGAGTGAAGGGGAGGAGTTGGCAAGGCCTCCCTCTCCAGGACCCTCCTCTCTGGCAATGCCTTCGATGTCCGCCGAAGGACAAGAGATAGGGCCAGGGCCAAGCACGTCCACGCAGCCACAGATGGACAGTGATGAGGGTAATGAGTCTTGGCTGGACCCACGCCAGCGTCGCAGAGATAAGCGCGCGCAACAGAAGAAAGGGCGTGCCCGAGATTAGGCTGAGTCACTGGACCACACCCCACAGGATATAAAAGGGAGCGTGGTGGCCAGTCAAACCTTGTGACGAACAAAGCTGAAAGCTTCCACGCCATTCTGCATTGCCGGACTTTTGCTTTAAGACTTTGCTGGATTATCTCTGGACTTGATTTAATTCCGTAATTATTGAGCTGCTTTCCTTTGATGTATCAGAAGTGGGGAGAAGTTATCTCTCCTCTTTGTAAATAATAAACTCTTGGCAGGCAGCCACTAGGTTGTTGCCAAGTTCCGTTATCATAAGAAAAAGGATTTTGCCAGCTGGTTTGGTCTTTAACTCCTGAACATCTGTTGGTGTGTGTGCGTGGGGTTGAGGACAGAACACACTTATCTGAAATAGTATAGGTTCTCCTGCCTGAGAAGGGGGCTGGATTAGAAGACCTCCAAAGTCTCTTCCAGCTCTATTCTATTCTCTGATTCTATGAATACAGCCTCAGTAGTGATTTCTGCCAGAATGAGATTGGGAGGTTTTATTTTGCTCAACCTATAGTTACGACGTCAGCAAATGAATACCTAGAACTGAACATTAATTCTGCTTACAACAGCAACCTGGCATGCAATGTTATAAATTTATTACATATCAGATGAAGCTAGACTCTAGGCCAGCTGCTGTGGATTAGAGGTGGAGCTCTTGCCTCACAATCAGGAGGTTGTGAGTTCGATCCTAGGTAGAGGCAGATGTAGGGTCTCCTGCTTGGGCAGGGGGTTGGACTAGATGACCTGCAAGGTCCCTTCCAACTCTGTTATTCTGTTAAATAACAATGGTAATTGTATACGTACTCAAAGCACTTTCTCTTAAGATTAGTGCTATAGAGGTCCCACGCTTTATCACATAACTCTGTGGTCATCTGAAAAGTAAATACAAAAATAAATTTACATTAACTTATGACCTTATGACCATTTTTCACATTTATGACCGTTGCAGCATCCCCATTGATCAAAATTCAGACGTTTGGCACTGACATACATCTGAATTTATACTTTTCAAATGCCTACTAAAGAACTCATCAGGGTCAAAATCACTAGATGCCACCAGATTAAATTTCTCTTTCCCCGTTTTACTTATTTTTCTACCTCGTATTTCCCTAGAGTGGAATTTTATTTATTTATTCAAGCGCATGTATACATACAGGATGTGCAGTGCCAAGTAAGCCAGCCTGAGGCAGTTAAATTTTTTTTTTACATCTGAGTTTGATAAAATTTTACTTAAGTGCGTTTAAGTTATAAAGTCCTCAGGAGTAAGGATTAAGGAATATACTCTTTCCCATGACTCTTGGTTGAAAAATGGATTATGAATAAACATTAAACAAAATTCTTTCCAGACTATCTTTGGAGAAAGCTATTATTCTAAATGTTTTAAAAGAGATTTATTAATAATTACCAGCTGGTCGTCATCGAGGCCTAAAAGTGTATGTAAATATGTCTCGGAAAGGACCCTCAGCTTCAGACTTAACTCTGGATCGATACACATGTTCCTAAGTGAAAATATATATATATATAAGCATTAGTTTTTTTAAAACCAAATTATTACACTACAGCTTGAGCTACTTTTAAAAATCATCTTTTGAATCACATTATTTCTTGTAGTCAGATAAATAATCCTGGTTCAAAGCAAAAAATGTAAATGATATTACACTGTGATTTTTTTTTCTTACTAGAAATCCTACTTTCCAATGTTATTTATTATGTTCCTTATCTTTCAAGGGTCTATTTTTTTTTCACAAATCTGTGGAAATCTTTTCAAGAAAATGGACTGTAATGGAAAATAGTTTCCACTGTCTTTTATGTTATGATAAACTTCAATAAAGTGTTGTTGTTGTTTTTTTAAAAAAGAGAGAAACACGGAGTGTGGGAAGCTTGAATGAAAGTAAACTTCAGAAATCCAGCATATCGGTAGTCCTCGCTGAACGACCACAGCTAAAAGTTACAATGGCCCTCAACCAGGGGTGAAATGCTACCGGTTCAGACCGGTTCAGCTGAATCGGTAACGATGGCGGCAGGTGGTTTGGAGAACCGGTAGCGATGGCAGCGCAAGGCGCCGCCCACCGCCCGGTCGTCATTACTTCCTGCTTTTAACCAGGAAGTAACCTGTTTTTTACCCTCTGCACATGCGCAGAAGGGTTTGCGCATGTGCAGAGGGTCCGTGCGCGCAAGTGACGTGCATGGGCGGCGCATGCACTTCCAAACCAGTAGGGAAGGTAAGTAGATTTCACCCCTGCCCTGAACGAATCCATTTGTTGTAACTGTGGCCACAACAGCATGTACAATTTTTGTCCGATTGCCATTTGCAACCTTCATTGCTGACTTCTGGCAAACAAAGTCAGCGTAGAAGCTGACGGAAGTTTCATAAATTATGTGAAGGCTATGACCACATGGGATTTGTCTAACAATTGCCTGCTGGGACTGTCATCTTAAACCGGGGCGGTCACACGACCTCACATTTTACGGCTGTGTCACCTAGCAACGGAATGGCCAGTCTCAATTACCACTGTTAAACAAGGACTAAATTAAAAATATTAGAAAATGAACCTAAGGTTGGCTGTAATGGGCCGCTTTAAATTAGAATTATCATTCAATAACGCTCATTATGGCATGAGGCCATGGAAAAGAATGGACAGTAACACTCAACATCCAAAAGTATGAAATGTACAGAAATTTACAGAATAACAGAGTTGGAAGCAGTGGTGAAAGTCAATTTTTTTTTTACTATCGGTTCTATGGGCGTGGCTTGGTGGGCGTGGTGTGGATTGGTGGGCATGGCAGGGGAAGGATACTGCAAAATCCCCATTCCCTCCCCACTCCTGGGGGAAGGATATTGCAAAATTTCCATTCCCACCCCACTCTGGGGCCAGCCAGAGGTAGTATTTGCCGGTTCTCCAAACTACTCAAAATTTCCGCTACCGGTTCTCCAGAACCTGTCAGAACTTGCTGGATTTCACACTTGGTTGGAAGGGACCTTGGAGGTCTTCTAGTCCAACTCCCTGCTCAAGCAGGAGGTCCTATACCAGGGGTGTCAAACTCAAGGCCTGCAGGCGAGATCCAGCCTGCGATGAAGTTGGATCTAGCCTACGGAGCCATCCTGGAAAATGTAACTTCGGTAACTGCGTCACTTCGGCCTGATCTACCCACGTCACTTCGGCCCAGACTACCCAATGCGAAGAGGAAACATTGGCTTCAGCTCTGCCTACCCAATACGGAGAGGAAACATGCCAGTATTTTCCCATATTGATTTCACATTTATTATCAATACTTTTAGGCCACGCAAAAACCTCTTATACATACCATATAATACCATATAAACCCTTTTCCATAATTTCTTTGATCTTTTCTTCTAAAAATCGGAGTGGATCTTCCGGACACATAATTAATAAACCACCTAACAAGGCCTGCAAATAAAATCAAGAAATAAGAGTGTTGATTAATAAAATATATATTTCATAAGAGAGTAAAATTATTTTTAGATGCTAGTCCTTTTTTATTAGAATATTTTATATTTTTATTAAAACAATTCAACATTTTATTTTTATTTTACTTCAGGATTTATTCTGGTTTATTGCCGAGTTTATATAACAACATGGGTTTTAGTTCGTGAAATTTTAAGCCATCATAAATTTGCAAACATGTTAGATGCTACAAACGAATAGATAGTTACAGTATTAGTGAAACTATAAGAATCGTGAAATTGTCCTTTTCTTAGAGTATTAACCAAGATTATAGTTATATAATCTTGGTTAAGATTACCACTGTTAAACAAGGACTAAATTAAAAATATTAGAAAGTGTACCTAATTTATAGCTAGGAAACTGAGGTATTATCCAATCATACAAGTGTCAAAATATTTTATTGAGAATATTTTTATTTTATTCCTTAATGATTGCTTTTAATTGGTTTATTATAAGTACCCAGTATGGCTTGGTTCCTACTTTTATGTGCCTGATGAACTAAAATCAAGACAATCGTTTTTTTCTCTTTGCTTGTACATTTTCTGAAAAAAGGAGCAGCGTTTTCACTTTTCACCTTATTTCTTAAAGATATTACAACACCTAAAAAGGCACAGCTATTAACAAAACAAAAATCGTCAATTTAATTATATCATTTGACAGGCAAGATGACATACTGTCCCCGTGTCAACTTCACTTATTACAGCATCAAAAAATTAATAATCCTAGTAAAACAGAAGAGTAAAGACACTACTCAAGAAATAATAATTTTAAATTCCCATGGATTTCCATGTGATGCGACACCCAGAAAAATACGGCATCCTTCACTTAATCCTCCAGGGAAATATTGAAGGCAAAGGAGGTCCAGGCAGAAGAAGAACATCATGGCTTCAAAATCTAAGGGACTGGTTTGGACAAAACTCAGCAGTACTTTTTCATGTGGCTGTTGACAAAAATAGGATTGCCAATATGATTGCCAACGTCTGATGATGGATATGGCACAAGAAGAAGATTGATTTCAATAGGAATGAAGTGCTCTCTCCATAAAATGAGGAAATCAAAGGCAATCTTACAAGTACACATACTTCTAAAATATTAATTTACACATCTAAAGATGCTTTAAGATTGTCAATTGTGCCCTCTACTGGACTGGATCATAAATTTTAGTGTTTTTTTTTGTAATTGAAACACTGCAGTATTTCTCCAAATAATCTACGATATTTTAATACGTCAAAAACTAATCTGCGTGAATAAAACATGGCACTGCAAATAAAATGGAAGCAGCGTAACGTAGGCCGATGTGAGTCAATTTTGGAGTTTTGGGGACAAGCAACATTAAAAGGTAATCCAATTCTGGCAAACGAAATTGCCTATTTTGGAAAGGAGATTCCATAGAATTGCTGTTAGAATAGAATAGAATAGAATTCTTTATTGGCCAAGTGTGATTGGACACACAAGGAATTTGTCTTGGTGCATATGCTCTCAAGCGTACATAAAAAGAAAAGATACATTTGTCAAGAATCATAAGGTACAACACTTAATGATAGTCATAGGGTACAAATAAGCAATCAGGAAACATTATCAATATAAATCGTAAGGATACAAGCAACAAAATTACAGTCATACAGTCATAAGTGGAAGGAAATGGGTGGTGGGAACAATGAGAAGATTAATAGTACTGCAGACTTAGTAAATAGTTTGACAGTGTTGAGGGAATTATTTGTTTAGCAGAGTGATGGCGTTTGGGGAAAATCTGTTCTTGTGTCTAGTTGTTCTGGTGTGCAGTGCTCTATAGCGTCGTTTTGAGGGTAGGATTTGAAACAGGTTATGTCCAGAATGCGAGGGGTCTGTAAGTATTTTCACAGCCCTCTTTTTGACTCATGCAGTATACAGGTCCTCAATGGAAGGCAGGTTGGTAACCATTGTTTTTTCTGCCGTTCTAATTATCTATTCAGGTAAATATGTACAGATGTCGGCTGGTCAAAAGTAAGGTTCTACATTTAGGCAAGAAAAACCAAATGCACAGGTACAGTATATGTGGTACCTTGCTCAATAGTAGTAACTGGGAGAGGGATCTTGGAGTCCGGGTGGACAACCATTTAAATAGGAGCCATCTGTGTGCAGCAGCTGCCAAAAAAGCCAACACAGTTCTAGGCTGCATAAACAGAGGGATAGAATCAAGATCACGTGAAGTGTTAATACCACTTTATAATGCCACACTTGGAATACGGCATCCAGTTTTGGTCGCCACGATGTAAAAAAGATGTGGAGACTCTAGAAAGAGTGCAGAAAAGAGCAACAAAGATGATTAGGGGACTGGAGGCTAAAACATATGAAGAACAGTTGCAGGAATTGAGTATGTTCAGTTTAATGAAGAGAAGGACTAGGGGAGACATGATAGCAGTCTTCCAATATCTCAGGGGCTGCCACAAAGAAGAGGGAGTCAAGCTGTTCTCCAAAGCACCTGAGGGCAGGACAAGAAGCAATGGGTGGAAACTCGTCAAGGAGAGAAGCAACCTAGAACTAAGGAGAAATTTCCTGACAGTGAGAACAATTAATCAGTGGAACAACTTGCCTCCAGAAGTTGTGAATGCTCCAACACTGGAAGTTTTTAAGAAGATGTTAGATAACCATTTGTCTGAAGTGGTGTAGGGTTTCCTGCCTAAGCAGGGGGTTGGACTAGAAGACCTCCAAGGTCCCTTCCAACTCTGTTATTCTATTCTATTCTATTCTATTCTATTCTATTCTATTCTATTCTATTCTATTCTATTCTATTCTATTCCTATTCCTATTCCTATTCCTATTCCTATTCTAAAACTGTAAATCCTATACAGGTAATCCTTGATTTAGGACCACAATTGAGTGCAAAATTTCTGCTGCTAAGAGAGACAGATTTTACGTGAGTTTTAAGCCATTTTGTGACCTTTCTTGCCACAATTGTTAAGTGAATCACTGCAATTGTTAAGTTAGTAACACGGTTGTGAAGTGAAATCTGGTTTCCTCGTTGACTTTGCTTGTCAGAAGGGGGGTCACATGAACCCAAGAAACCACAACTCTTATAAATACGAATCACTTGCCAAGTATCTGAATTTTGAATATGCAACCATGGGGAAAGTTGCAACGGTTGTGTGAAAAACAGTCGTAAGTCACTTTCTTCAGTGCCGTTGTAACTTTGAACGGTCACTAAACGAACTGTCGTAAGTCAAGGACTACCTACAGATCTTCCCGCATGTCCATTATACGAATGCGTGCAGATCTAGCTAAATACAATCTACCCCATTCACATTTAGTAGGTAGAGAAGTTTTCCCATTGCAAAGTTAAATTGCTACTGACCCAATCTTAAACTGAAAAAATCAATACAGGTAGTCCTTGACTTACAACCGTTCACTTAGTGACCATTTGAAGTTACAATGGCACTGAAAAAAGTGATTTGTGACCATTTTTCACAATTATGACCGTTGCAGCTTCCCCATGGTCATATGATTTACATTGTCATGTGATTTACATTGACAACTGACTCACATTTATGATGGATGCAGTGTCCCGGGGTCATGTGATCCTCTTTTGCGACCTTCGGGTCTCAAACCCAGGCTGTCAGCTTTCCAGCTGATAAACTCAGTGTCTTTAACCACTGAACCATCCTGCCGCATCCTTGCCTGAGAGAAAAGCAATGGCTTACTGCAGTGGCTCCCAAACCTTTTGGGCACTCGGTGTCAACTCGCAAAGCATCCCTGGCCTGCTCTCGAGTTGCCATAGGTAAGGGGGTGAAGCAGCCTAGCAGCTAAAAACAGAAACACATTCCAGGCATACCTCTCTCAAGGCTGTCTCCCAGGGTTACCCAGAGCGGCTAGAGGGGAGTGATCTCTACAACCTGCAAAATTGCTCCATTGGAATGTGATTGATTGAACCCTGACACCTGGGACCGGTTCCGTGGAGAGGTTTTTCCGCGGACCGGAGGGGATGTGGTTTCGCGTGGTGCCTGCATCCCACGGATAGGGCTTCACTTGTTTGCGGAGCCTGGTTTCTGATTGGACATGGGGTTGGGGATCCCTGGCTTACTGGAAGCCTCCTTGAATAAAAAGGTGGCATATCATACAAACAAATAAATTCCCTTGTTTTAATGTGTTATTTGTGCATTGAATTCCACTCATTGTTTAGGAAAATAAATCTGCAATTGTCAATTACTGGCCAAATTTCCCACTCCATTCATCACTACTAATCATAATCTTGAGCCAGCTAGCAAATTAATAACATCAGGCTGTTGTTTTGTATTGTCTTCATTCCTCCATTCATTATTACATTGCAGTACATTTCTCATCCTTCTGATAAAATGTCGCAGAACAAGTTATTCAAAATTTTTTTGATAGTTTCACAGAATGTTTTTCAGATACTTTAGTCCAAAATACAAGGTTGTCCTCGGATCACGACGACCATTTAGCCGAACACTGGAGCCCTAGTAGCGCAGCAGACTAAAGCAGGCTAAAGCACTGTTATTAACATCAGCTGCCTGCAATTACTGCAAGTTCAAATCTCACCAGGCTCAAGGTTGACTCAGCCTTCCATCCTTTCTAAGGTAGGTAAAATGAGGACCCAGATTGTGGGGGCAATAAGCTGACTTTGTATAAATATACAAAAGTATGAAGGCTATTGCTTAACGCATTGTAAGCCACCCTGAGTCTTCGGAGAAGGGCGGCATATAAATCAAATTAAAAAAAAACAAAAACACTTCTGTTGCTAAGTGGGACATCTGTTAAGTGATTTTGCCCTATTTTACGACCTTTCTTACCACAGTTATTAAGTGAATCACTGCAGTCATTAAGTAAGTAACCTGGTTGTTAAGTGAATCTGGCTTCCCGGTTGACTTTGCTTGTCAAAAGGCCGCAAAAGGGGAGTCATGTGATCCCGGAACACTGCAAACGTCATAATTATGAACCAGTTGGCAATCGTCGGCATTTTGAATTTAGACATTTTGTAGCTAAAGCCCGTTTTATTTTTATTTTGGAAAAACCTAAGACAAACAGGAAAGGAAAGGCTCTTTTTTTGCAAATGATAAATATTGTTGGGTGTTGTTATTTTAGCACTGAATAATTGCTTTTCTTTCACTTACGGTACAGATTACTCTTCTGATTTATACATGTTGGCATATGTAGATAGGTTTAGATCCAAAGAGGATGATTTAGTGATTTAATTAATGACTTTCAGGTTTATAAAGTTCACTTCAAAGCCACCAGAGTCCAAATCTTGAGGAACACTGCGTACTATCTTTTTCTGCCTGCTATTTTTTTAAGATGCCATCAGTTAAGGGTAACATGCAGCTACAACCTTACCCCAGAAGTAAAATTAGGCACTTGTGAAGTAAACAAAGCTTCTTCTTCTTCTTCTTGGAAGGGACTTTGGAGGTCTTCTAGTCAGGGTGGATTTGATTTAAATCGAGTTGATTTAAATCACACTTTAAATCATGATTTAAATCACTAGTAAAAAGGCTTGATTTAAATCAACTCGATTTAAATCATAATTTTTAAAGAGCAACTGTCCTCTCTGCTACTCCTTTGACCCACTGTTGACTCACCGATAGTCCCAGTGTTGCAGAATATACAGCCTCATGCTACATAACTAAGCTCCATTTCATGCTGAATAAACTAAATTATTTATGTATCTTAAATAGAAAACTATCTTATGATAGATTTTTACCCCAAAAGTTTTTTATTAAAATAAATTCTCTCCTTGATTAGTTTCCAGCCATTGTTTCTTGTTTTGCTAGATAGATAGATAGATAGATAGATAGATAGATAGATAGATAGATAGATAGATAGATAGATGGATGGATGGATGGATGGATATAGATAGATAGATAGATAGATAGATAGATGATGGATGAATGGATATAGATGATAGATAGATGGATGGATGGATGGATGGATGGATGGATGGATGGATAGATAGATAGATAGATAGATAGATAGATAGATAGATAGATAGATAGATAGATAGATAGATAGATAGATAGATAGATGATGGATGAATGGATATAGATGATAGATAGATGGATAGATAGATATAACGAGAGATACAGATAGATAGATGGATATAGAGATAGACAGATAATAGACAGACAGGCATAGATGAGAGAGAGATACAGATAGATAGAGATATAGATAGTAGACAGACAGACATAGATGAGAGAGAGAGATACAGATACCGTGTTTCCCCAAAAATAAGACCTTATATCTTATATTTTTTTGGAACCCTGAAATAAGCGCTTGGCCTTATTGCCATGCACTCAAAAGCCCAATTGGGCTTATTACCCTGTTTCCCCCAAAATAAGACATCCCCTGATAATACGCCCAATCGGGCTTTTGAGCGCATGGCAATAAGGCCAAGCACTTATTTCAGGGTTCAAAAAAATATAAGATATAAGGTCTTATTTTTGGGGAAACACGGTATTAGGGGATGTCTTATTTGGGGGAAACAGGGTAGATAGATAGAAAGAGAGAGAGAGAGAGAGAGAGAGAGAGGGAGAGAGAGAGAGAGGGAGAGAGAGAGAGAGAGGAGAGAGAGAGATACCTCTGAGCGTGCCAGGAATTTTAGGTTTCATCATTAGCATTTTAAGAGGTTGAAATCTGGCAGTCAAGGCCTCTTAATTTTAACTTTTTATTTTTTTATTTCATTTATTTATTTGTCAAGTACATATTGGATAACATATATATAAGTATAAGCGTGAATTGAATACAAAAAATGAATACAAATAAAGGGAACATTAGGACAGGATATAAGAAAGCATTTCCTCCTCCTTCTTAACCAAGTCATTTCTGGTCTTTTCCAGCAACTACAGAATAGAGAGTGTGATCTGAAAGTCTTTGAATACACTTGCAAGTTTTTTAAAACAAAAACATACAAACCCAGACGAAAAAGACCATGATATAATATCCTGTTTCCCCCAAAATAAGACATACCCTGATAATAAGCACAATCGGGCTTTTGAGCGCATGGCAACAAGGCCAAGCACTTATTTCAGGGTTCAAAAAAATATAAGACAGGGCCTTATTTTCGGGGGTACTCGGTATAACCCATAACTTTGTTGCTGGTGGAATTTATTAGAAACCAGGGTGGATAAAAATCAATGATTTTTTAAAAAAAAAATCAAAAAAATCAGATTTTTTTTATTTAAATCGGATTTATTTTTATTTTTATCGAATTTATCTTAATAAAAAACTTTTGGGGTAAAAATCTATCGTAAGATAGTTTTGTATTTAAGATACACAAATAATTTAGTTTATTCAGCATGAAATGGAGCTTAGTTATGTAGCATGAGGCTGTATATTCTGCAACCCTGGGACTATCGGTGAGTCAACAGTGGGTCAAAGGAGTAGCAGAGATGACAGTTGCTCTTTAAAAATTATGATTTAAATCGAGCTGATTTAAATCAAGCCTTTTTACTAGTGATTTAAATCATGATTTAAATCAACTCAATTTAAATCAAATCCACCCTGTTAGAAACGCCGTTTCCTATACTTCAAGTCTCACATGTAACATAACGTCCTGTCCTTTAAGTGTTTTGACTTGATCCATGAGGTACACTAAATGTCTCGTGTGTTTCTATACCATATATAAAGACTCCACTTCCTTAAATAAACATTTTTCGACTTCATCTTCATTACGTGGGAATGGCCATTTTCAGTGAGCAAACATTAAAAGCCTCTGATAAGAGGGAAGTATTTGTAATATTTGTTGAAATGAGGCGTTCTCGATGCTCTCTGAGCTTGGGGGGGTTTCCTTACCGATGTTTCATTACCCAAACTAGTTAAGAAATCAGGAAACTGAAAGCACTGATGATATTACCTAGTTGGGTCATGAAATGTCAGCAAGGAAATGTAGGAAGTTAGCACCCACCCCTTTCCTGGAAGAATGAAATATTTTAGGAAATATTAAAAAGGCAGAATATTATGTCCCCCTGGTTGAGAGATGGAGAAGGATGTTTTAAAGACAAAGCAACTCCCACCTTCCTGCCCCCCCCCTTTGTTAGTGGGCCAGAGGCAGAAACTCAATCTTTGACAATAGGACCCATCTGCAACACAATAGCAACAGAAACTAACACAAAGGGACCCATCTAGGACAGAAACTCACCACATGGCACCTGGGAAGATTACATCAGCCAGCAAGGCTAGCTAAGACCCCCACCCCCTGGGAGTCTGACAACCAATCAGGATACTCTTTCGGGGGCCCAGGAAGTTCAAAGCCAGAGAAAGCATAAAACCCGGGGACTTGCTGTATCTCGGCCCTTTTCTGTTCAGGAACTCAAACCATGTGATCCTGTCCACCATTAAACCATCTTTCCAAGCAGTCTCCATGTTTCCAGTGTCTTTTTCCACACTTGGAGCTGAACCCAAGTGGAGCCTTGGTAGTACTAGGGTTTAAGGCACCCTGTTATTAAGCTGCTTAAGACCAGCTGCCTGCAATTACTGCAGGGTTCGAATCTCGCCAAGGCTCAAGGTTGACTCAGCCTTCCATCCTTTCTAAGGTAGGTGAAATGAGGACCCAGTTTGTGGGGGCAATAAGCTGACTTTGTATAAATATACAAAAGGATGAAGGCTATTGCTTAACGCATTGTAAGCCGCCCTGAGTCTTCGGAGAAGGGCGGCATATAAATCAAATTAAAATAAATAAAATAAAATAAAATAAAATAAAACCCAGAAGAATATTTCTTCCTACAGAAACAACCCAGCTCAGAGAGCATCAAGGACCCTCCCTCAAATTCAGGGTTCAAGGTCTTATCAGTTCATTGAAACCAGAGATATTTTTGCTGGGCATGCTACCAGAAAAAATATGATAAAAAGATTGCATATTTGATCCTGCATATACGAACTGGGGCTAGAATTGTATTTGCGCAACAATGGAAAAATGATGAGATCCTCAGAATAGAATAGAATAGAATAGAATAGAATAGAATAGAATAGAATAGAATAGAATAGAATTTTTTATTGGCCAAGTGTGATTGGACACACAAGGAATTTGTCTTTGGTGCATAGGCTCTCGGTGTACATAAAAGAAAAGATACATTCGTCAAGAATCATAAGGTACAACACTTAATGATAGTCATAGGGAAACAGTCAATATAAATCTTAAGGATACCAGCAACAAGGTTACAGTCATACAGAATGTAATTAAAAAAAACATTAGATTGTGCAGAAGTGGATAGATTAACACTTGCTATTAAGGATAAAGAAGAAACTGAATTATTATTATTTTTTTATATGGGACGTATTCTATCGATGGCTAGATAACAGAAATAGAAGTTAGAAAGGAAGAGATATAGATGGAGGAAATGGGATAGAGGAGAGTGATTAAATGTTAAGTATCAATGTTACTTAATGTTATTATATTATTATATTGTTATATTCTTCATATGATGGCGATTATATCAATAGTATTATATTATTATTTTATATAATATATAAATATAATTATATTTATATATTATATAAATTATAAAATATAAATATATTTTATAAATTATCATATAATCTATATTATATTGTTATATTCTTCATATGATGGTGATGACTTATCACAACCAATTGTGACTATTGAAACATAATTGTACGCAGAACGCACACCCTCAAGGTTTTTAAGAAGAGATTGGACAACGGTGTGAAACGGGGTAGGCAGATTTTCTGCCTGAGAAGGGGGGTTGGACTAGAAGACCTCCAAGGTCCCTTCCAACTCTGTTATTCTGTTATAATAAAAATTGAATAAAACAAATAAAACATGAGGGGGGGGGAAAGGCCTTATCAGTTCTAGGTCAAAGTGGGGGGGGGGGTGCCTTGAAACCCCCCACCCCAAAAAAAACAGATAGTACTGTGGCTTCTTTACCTCGTAGATATCCGGGATGGAATATTTCTGGAAGTAGACCCTCAAAGTGGGGTCCCCATTCTGAAGAACGGGCATGGCGAGTCACAGGGGCTGCCCACCCACCGGCTGGAAGAAGCTGGGAAGGCGGGCGACCACCGCCCCCGCTTCTAACGGCCTCCGCTGTCGGTTACCCCCCATTCTCTCCCCCGACACGCGTCTCTCCTTCGGCGCACGTGTGAACGCGTGCAATCCATTCCTAGGCATCCGGATCGGAACGGGAGAGGTTAATTATTATTATTATTATTATTAGGGAAGCAGGCAGGAACCCTGATCGTGGGGAAAGGGGGTTTCATCCATGGGGAAGGGTCTCCAAAAACAAAGGCAACACCCCTTCCTCCGCGATTGCCAAAAACTCGGCCGGTCTCAGCGCCGATCGTCCCTCGGGATCCACCCAGTGGGGGATCCTCCCAGTGGGGGATCCGCGGGATCCACCCCCCTGGAGGTGGAGACCGGCTGACCCGCGTGCAAGCGGAAGGTGTCGCTTTCCCACGTGCTGCAAAGCCTTTCCCCCATTATCCCATTCCTTTTTTTTTTTTTTTTTCCCCGGCCCGGGAGAAACGCGTGTCCTTGCTTTGCCATGAAAGAACCGGCCGGTTGGACGTTGCGGGTCGGCTTGGTGGGCTTGGCGGCGGCCGGGGTCGCCTACGGTCTTTATCGGGTGACTTCCAGGCGGAGCGGCGGAGCATCCCCACGACCGAAGGGTTTGGGCAGCCTCGGCGGGGGAGAAGCCTCGGGGTCTCCCGGGTTGTCCAGCAGCCCCCACCGGGCCCCTCCGCAAGGTCAGATTTCCCCTTCCCCTGTTTTGTGCCCCCTTTTTTTAAATCCACGTGTTTCTTCCCCCCCTCCAAAGAACACGTGTAATAATAACAGTAACGGAGGTGGAAGGGGACCTTGGAGGTCATCTAGTCCAACCACGCAGGAGACCTATGCTAGGGGTTCGAACTGCCGGCCGTTCTGAGCGTCTTAGCCCAGGGAGTCGGCAATCTGCGGCTCCGGAGCCACATGCGGCTCTTTGGACTCTCTGCTGTGGCTCCCTGTTGGGTGATCCCACCACTGGCTGGCCCCGCCCCTCACTCTCCCCCCCCCAATCACTCCTCGCCTGGCCTGAGAACGTAAGGTGAGGGCGGGGGATGGAGAAGGGGCCAGGGGAGATACAGAGAGGGGGAGAGAGAGAGATACAGAGAGAGAGAGGGAGATACAGAGAGAGAGGGAGAGGAGGGAGGGAGGGAAGAGAGAGAGATGTCACAAGGGTTTTGTGGTTCCCGCTGTTTTTTTTTTAACAACTGGTTCTCTGCCCTAATGACCTGCTGGGTAGGCGTGGCTAGGGGGGGTCATGTGACTGTCGGAAGTGAGTGACATAGAGTTGGCCACGCCCAGCCAGATTTTGTGGCTCCCGGTTTTTCTTTTCTGTGGGAAACGGGTCCAAGCTTAACGTTGCAGACCCCTGTCTTAGCCACTGAGCCCTGCCGATTTTGCATTTGGGTTTTCCCCGCGGGAACGCGGCTGCCGCAGATTAATCCTCGATTTAGGACCGCAAGGGAGCCCAACCTTTTCAGGGGCTAAGTTGGTTAACAACGATCTTGTTATTTGACATTCACAATGGCAGCGATTCGCTTAACGACTGCGGGAATCAAGGTCGTAAAAGGGGGGCACCAGTCGCTTAACCCAGGTCCCAGTTAGCTTAGCCGCAGAAATGTGGGGCTCAATGGTCGTAAATGGAGGATTACTTGGCATTTCTGGGGGGGGGGGGTGAAAACCAAAACAACCATTAGGTGTAATATTTATTTTCTAACATTAGGGGGCAGTGATGGTTCAAAATCCGTTCTTGAGGCCCCTCACATTAAGAGTCTTCTTCATCTGTTGGAGTCTACAGAGGATTCTTCGGTTCAGGAACAGATCTTGGTTACCCTGAGCAACAGCGCGGCTTTCTCTGTCAATCAAGTAAGGGCTGTTCTTTTGTTTCCATGCCACCCTAGAAAAAGAAGCCAATGCTGTAATACATCCAAACAAGGCAACTTTTAAGACTTTGTGGACTTCAACTCCCAGAATTCACTCAGCCAGCCTGGCTGAGGAATTCTGGGAGTTGAAGTCCACAAAGTCTTAAAAGTTGCCAAGTTTAGGAGACAGACCCCTGTTATAATAGATATCATTTTAAAAAATGATCCTCTTTAATCAATCAATCCCTTTAATCAATTCCTAGAAATGAAGGGGATTTAAAGCCAAATTCAATCATTGTAATAACTTTGGGAGGGGGAAAAAAGGAGAATTAGTGCAATCTTCATGGTAGACTGAGAATATTCATTTAAAAATGGAGTTGTGGTTTTTGGAAACTATCGTTTTATGATACGGTGGTACCAGGGGAGGGTTCTAATTACCTTTACTACCGGTTCGCAATGGGGCCGCGCGCTCTTCTGCGCAAGTGCAGAAGCATTTTGATGACACCGGGGTCGGTGGGCGGAGCCTCCCGCTGGTTTTACTACTACGAACCGGGGGCAACCCACCAATGAGTGATACCTTGGTGCTCAACTGCTTTGAAACTCAATAGAATAGAATTAGGATTAGGATTAGGATTAGGATTAGGTTAGGATTAGGATTAGGATTAGGATTAGAATTAGAATTAGAATTAGAATTAGAATTAGAATTAGGACAGAGGAAGGGAAGGGAAGGGAATAGGATAGAATTCTTTATTGGCCAAGTGTGATTGGACACACAAGGAATTTGTCTTTGGTGCATATGTTCTCAGTGTACATAAGGAGAATAAAATACAACCATCAAGAATAAAAAGATACAACACTTAGCGATAGCCAAGGTTACTAATAAGCTATCAAATCGTACTAGGAAACAAATAAAAACAATATAAATTGAAAGATACAAGCAACATGGTTGTAGTAATAAGTGGGAAGAGATAGATACTAATAAGGAAGAGACGGATAATAGTAATACAGTCTTAGTAAATTATTTGACAGTGTTGTGGGAATTAATTGTTAAGCAGAGTGATGGCATTGGGGGTGGGAATTGTCCTTGTGTTCTGGTGTTCTGGTGTGAATTTGTTCTAGTTGTTCTGGTGTGAAATTGGTATTCGACACATTTTGATGCGAACATTTTGTCCCGATACTCATCGTTTGTTTGGTATTGATGCGCACAAGCTCAGAATTTGTCATTGTCACCTGCCTTGTGACTCACTACGTTATTCAAGGTGCTGGTGATGACCTATAAATCCCTTCATGGCTTAGGACCAGGATATCTGTCAGACCATCTGCAACCAGCAACAGCTCCCCATCGTCCGGTGCATTCTCACAGGGAGGGCCTACTCAGGGTGCCGTCGGCTAGACAATGTCGGCTGGCAACCCCCAGAGGTAGAGCTTTCTCTGTGGGTGCACCCACCCTTTGGAATCAACTCCCCCGGGGGCTCCGGTTGGGCCCTGACCTTCGCACTTTCCGCCGTGAACTAAAAACATGGCTGTTTAAATTGCCCCAGCCTGGACTGATGGGGTTTTGATTTTTAATGTATTTTAATATGCGTTTAATATGTATTTTAACATGTTTCTTACTGTTCTGTCCCCGTCTCACACACGCACACAAACAGACAGCCAGGGGTTAAATAAACTGGCAGACAACCAATTCTTCCGATAAGAAGCTTGGCAGCAACCCAGTAGCTGCTTGCCAAGAACTTTACTCATAAACAAAATACACACAGTTAAGAATTGTCCAGTTCGTAAAATAAATCCAAGGCCGATAATGTTGTTTCCAAAGATGCAATGTGACTCGATAGTAGTTAGTTTTGTCCGTCACAGAGTCTGAATGGCCATCTCACCCCCTTTTATACTCTGTGGGGTGTGGTCCAGTGACTCAGCCTAATCTCTGGAATGCCTTTTCTTCTGTTGCGCGCGCTTATCTCTGCGACGCTGCCAAGGATCCAGCCAAGACTCATTTCCCTCATCACTGTCCACCTGTGGCTGCGTGGACGTCCTTGGCCCCGGCCCTATCTCTTGTCCTTCAGCAGGCACCGAAGGCATTGCCAGAGAGGAGGGTCCTGGAGAGGGAGGCCTTGCCAACTCCTCTCCTTCACTCTCGGAGTCCTCTCCTGCTCAGGTTCAGGCTCAGGTAACGGAGCCACAACACTTACTTGGATTGAGATTGTATATCTTAATTGTTGTGAGCCGCCCTTAGTCCTATGGGAGATAGGGCGGCATACAAATCTAATTAAAATAAAATAAATAAATAAATAATTCTTATGGGAAAAATCGGTTTGCTACTCGTTGTGCCTCCCACAACGAATTACCGTAATGAAAAGTAACCCCGGTACAACTTCATGCCTCCGTATAGTGACGTACAGCAAGGTGTTTATGCACAAAATTTCTGCTGCTTCAGCTCGTCGCCTGCTAAGGAGATTAGTCACAGTTTCCACCACATTGCAGGTGTTTAAATGGGCTAATTATTCTGATTCTTTTTTCATTTTGACTCTCAAGTGTTTGTGGGTGTTTAAGTGGGAAATGGATGTTATTGGCTTAAGGCTGTCTTGGTTCTTTAAGCCTTCCCCAGTTGCAAAAGATACCAAAATAATTATTTGGAGACATCCTACTACCAGCCGCCATGGCCCCTCAGTCCCAAAGTCAAAAAAAATATTGATTTTTCTGTTGTAGAAGGAATGAATTTATATGTGAAAGAAATGGCGACCGCATTACTAGAAATCAAGAAATAAGAGCCTATCGTACCAGTGGGGGAAAAAAAAATACGGTAAATAATTTTCAGCATTAACAGAAAGGAACAGAAAGCAATTTGTAGGATGGTGGCTTGAGATATTAACTACTTCTGGGCATTTTGTGAACATTTTTTTCAAAGTGACCATATGATCGTGACTATGTGTTATGATCTCCTTTGCATTATTAATCTTTAAATTTTATTTTCCAATAAACTCAGCTATTAAGAACAGGGTTTTTTTTTTTTTATAAATTAGAGAGCAGTGTAGTTGAGTTGGGCAAATTCCCCTCCATGAAATGAGGGGTTTTTGGGGGGGACTTTAGGAATGAAGATGATTATATATGATATTTTCCTATTTGTTTAATTTATAGGATATCATTCGGAATTTAGGTGGCCTCTCTGTGATTGGAGAAATGCTTTCAGTTCCCGTCACTAATGTTAAACAAAAAACACTTAATGCACTCAATAACTTGAGTATGAACACTAAAAATCAAGAGGAACTAAAGGTGAGTTTAAAATAACAATCTGTAATGAAAATGCATATGAACAAAGTTTCTAAAGAATTTAATGCAGTGGGAGTACTAGCTTTATTCTTACGTGTGATATTGATCAGTTGGATATTATTTAGCATCGTCATTTTTAAAAAAATAGTTTATAAACTGTCTTAGTTCACCACACTCGGGAGACTAATAGGGATTAGAAGAGTTATCCACGGCGCACGGTGACCTCAAAATGATGTGTGTGAATGAAGGCAAGACAGGAAAACAACAGACGGAAATTAATCAAGAAGAGAAGCAACCTAGAACTAAGGAGAAACTTCCTGACAGTGAGAACAATTAACCAGTGGAACGACTTGCCTCCAGAAGTTGTGGGCGATCCAACACTGGAAGTTTTTAAGAAGAGATTCAGCAACAATTTGTCTGAAATGATATAGGGCCGTGATGGCGAACCTATGGCACGCATGCTACAAGTGGCACACAGAGCCATATCAGTGGGCACACGCGCGTTGGCCGAGCACAGCTCCGGCGCGCATACGTATGCCGGCCAACTGATTTTTGAGCCTTCCGGGCCCACCAGAAGTCAGGAAACAGGCTGTTTCCGGCCACCAGAGGGCCTTCAGGGGGGTGGGGAAGCCCGTTTTTCATCCTCCCCAGGCTCCAAAAAAGCCTCTGGAGCCTGGGGAGGGCAAAAAACGGGCCTACCAGGCCCACCGTGCCATCGTGTGCCAAAAGCGGAGGGAGCGCAGGGGGTCATGCGCACATGCACAGAGGGACGGGGCACATTGAATTATGGATATGGGCATGCACGTGCGTGACAACCCCCCCCCCCCCGGTGCTTCCCCTGATTTTGGCACACGACGGCAAAAAGGTTAGCCATCACTGATATAGGTCTCCTGCTTGAGCAGGGGGTTGGACTAGATGACTTCCAATATCTCTTCCAGCTCTATTCTGATTGATTGATTGATTGATCAAAGTCCTACGACCTTTCAACATATATTACAGCATATAAAAATGGGCAGAGCTTTGATCTTTGGATTGTATGTGCCGTTTTGACATCATTAACTGATTTACCGATGCCTGAGATGACTAATGTTCAGTTCAGTGGCATAGCCAACACAATAATTAGATTAAATGCAATAAAATAAGGTGGAGAGATAAAAGAGGAAAATACTATGAGGTAAAAGAGTATCCAGTGAGTTCTCGTCTTAAGACCACGATTGAATCCAAAATTTCCATCGCTAAGAGAGTTAAGTTTCGCTAAGTGAATTTTGCTCTGTTTTACGACCTTCCCTCCCACCATCGTTAAGTAAATCATGCAGCTTTCAAAGTTAATCACACGGTTGTTAAGTGAATCTGGCTTCCCCATTGACCATGTTGGTCAGAAGGTCACAAGAGCTGGTCACATGACCCCAGGACGCTGCAACCATTGTAAAAATGTAAGTTTGTTCCAAATGTAAGTTACTCTGGAGTTGGAGCCAAACATCTCTTTGAAGTTTACAAAAAAAAAAAAAAAAGCAGGATAATTTTATGAGACTAATTAATCTGTCGTCTTCCCTGAGTCTTTGCGCCGTCCAGTGTCAGCTTGACGCTTGGGGCTCAGGACCCCGAAATTTGGGGGAGCCGCTTTAGTTAGAAAGGAGATTCGGGTTAATGTCAGGGTTCCAAGTAACACCCCTCAACGAAATCAAACTCCGAGGCTTGAGTTTCCTCAAAGCTAATTTTTATTAGAGATGTCATATTGGCACATCTGGGAAAACCCGAATCTGAGAGCTTCCGGGTTTTCCTCACAAAACAAAACAAAATTCAAGTTCTTGCCCTTCACCCACATATCCATCACATAAACCAATCAGATACCCTCCGGAACAGAAAATACGTCCTCATTCTTCTCAGCACAGCTGAAGGCACAACGGCCTTGACTCTCTAGAAAGAATGTTATTTTGACTACATATCATATTCACTCCATATAATCCCCCCTCCCGTTTTCCCACAGTAGAATTTGTGGCCAGCCACTTACCTGGAATGAAATAAGGTCATCTGCTTGATCAGGGGTTGGACTAGAAGACCTCCAAGGTCCCTTCCGACAGTGTGTTCAGTATAAGGATATCATCTTTCACTTTATCCAAAAGTTTCCGATAAATTTTATCTGGCTTTTAACTTACTGATGAGGTCTTACGGATGAAAATTAACTGGGTAAAATTTCTTTGCCTTTCTTAAATATAGGGGTGATTAAAGTGAAACCCCAGGCATTAGGTACTGTATGCAAGTTGAGGGTTACTAATATCACGTTAATAATCAATGTAAAATGTCAATAAAAAAAACAATTTAAAACCATCAGTAATAGTAAAAATATCAGCAAGTTAATACTAGGTATTTGACTTGATACAAGATCTTGTAGTAACGTATTGGTAAATGTGTTTTTGTGTTTATGTTCTATCCCTCTTAGATCTATATTACCAAAGTGTGTGAGGAAGTCGAAGCATCTTCTGTAAACTCCGAACTGCAGTTAGCTGGCCTTCGATTTTTAACCAACATTTCTGTGACAAATGACTATCATTACATGATGACTAGCTTCATACCCAATTTTCTGCACTTGCTGTTTGAAGGAAATGAAAGGACTCAGGTACAATAAGCCCCCTGTTTTATCATTAAATAGAAAAAGGAAACATTCAGTGTTTAGCCTTTTAGGTTAATTATTTAACCTAATTACTAATAAAATTACTTTAACCCAATTAATTACTCTGAAACTAAATATAGGTAGTCCTTGACTTACAATCACAATTGAGCCCCAAATTTCTGTTGCTCACCCCGTTAAGTGGCACTAGGGATTCGAACCGCTGAACTGCCGACCTTTTGATCGACAAGCTCAGCGTCTTAGCCACTGAGCCACTGCGTCCCATTTTTCACATTTATGCTACAAAGGCATAAATGTGAAAAATGGCCATAAGTCACTTTTGTCAGTAACTGTTGTAAATCAAGGATTACCTGTAGTAGAAAATGGTTTTGCCTGTTTTTTTTTTTTTTCATGAGATGGAATAAATCTTAGAAATGAGAATGGAGTGTAACTATTTGACCTTCCAAACTGAAATAAAATCCTAGTCAAATGTAAACTGGCAAATCATTTAAACATGAATATAGGTCGTCCTTGACTTACGACCACAATTGAGCCTAAATTTTTTTTTCTGGCTTAGCAAGACAGTTGTTAAGTGAGGTTTGCTCCATTTTACGACCTTCCTTGCCGCACTTGTTAAGTGAATCACCGCAGCTGTTCAGTTGCACTGCAAACATCATAAATACGAGTCAGTTGCCGAGCATCTGAATTTTGATCCCGTGAGCATCGGGATACTGCAAATGGTCGTAAGCGTGAAAAACTCTCATGTCGCCTTTTTCTAGCGCTGTTGTAACTTTGACTGGTCACTTAGTGAACCGTTGTAAATTGAGGATTATCTGTACCTCCTCCTTCAATGCAGCCCAGGCAAACCATGTTCTAAAACAGTGATGGCGAACCTTTTCGCCATCGCGTACCAAAGCGGTAGGGAGCGCAGGGGGGTCACGCATAAGCGTGCCCCCATTCATAATTCAATGTGGCCCGCTCCCATGCATGTGTGTGTGACCCCCCCCCACCGCGCGCTTCCCCCGCTTTTGGCACGCGATGGCATGGTGGGCCCTGTAGGCCCGTTTTTCGTCCTCCTCAGGCTCTAGAGGCTTCCTTGGAGCCCGGGGAGGGCGAAAACAGCCTTCCCCAACCCCCGTTTCATGACTTCCGGTGGGCCCAGAAGTCCTGAAAATCAGCTGGCCAGAGCGCGCATGCGTGCTGGAGCTGAGCTAGGGCACGCTCGCCTGCCCACAGGCTCGCGTGCCATAGGTTCGCCATTACGGTTCTAAACTATTACCTTTACATCCTAGCTGTCCATCCAATGTACTTCTACCTCATATTAATTTGATAGATGAGTCAGAGAAACCCTTTTCAATGTTACAGGTTCAAGTCCTGAAAGTCCTTGTGAACTTATCAGCAAACCCAATTATGGCAGAACATCTACTTAATTCACAGGTAAATCTGCTTTTATCCTTCTTGTGTGACAGTTTCCTTCACTCGTTCATTTATTTTATTTCTTATACTATGAATCCCTTCAAATTTTGAAGGAAAACGTTTGTCCCTTCGTTGCATATCCACTGTGGGCACCTATATCGTTGTAAGCTTTATTTATAGCGCTTGTCAATTTTAAGGGCATTAACTTTAAAACAGTAATAGTTGCTGTTTACAAATAATTGCTGAAGGTGTTTAAGCGACATGAGCATTCTGGGTTTGAAATGAAATAGAAGTTATCCAGGAAATTGCATTCTAGAATCCAGAGATATTTTCTTTTTTGAAGCATAATGTATAAACCAAATTTGACGCGGTGACTGAGTGGCTAAGGCGCTGAGCTTGTCGATCGAAAGGTTGGCAGTTCAGCGGTTCGAATCCCTAGTGCCGTGTAACGGGGTGAGCTCCCTTAACTTGTCCCAGCTTCTGCCAACCTAGCAGTTCGAAAGCACGTAAAAAATGCAAGTAGAAAAATAGGGACCACCTTTGGTGGGAAGGTAACAGTGTTTCGTGCGCCTTTGGCATTGAGTTATGTTGGCCACATGACCACGGAGACGTCTTCGGACAGCGCTGGCTCTTCGGCTTTGAAACGGAGATGAGCACTGCCCCCTAGAGTCAGGAACGACTAGCACATATGTGCGAGGGAAACATTTACCTTTTTTAATGTATTTTTCAGAAATTATCCTTCCTGATGTGACTCAACATATAATTGGCTATTAACTCATTGGGAACATTCAAAGCAGCGTATTACTCTTATCTACTCAGCGTTAACTTATTAAATAATAAATTCACGCTGTTTCTTTAAACTTAAACTACAAATGAACAGGCTTACATTTTTTTCCCTGTCTTTCCAGGCGCCTCTTCTCCTATCTCTGTTTGACAGCTGCATAAACAAAGATATTTTGCTCAGAGTCCTTGTGTTTGCCACGAACTTGACGAAGTCCATGAGCCACGACAAGGGTTCTGCTATCCACAATCTGTACAACGAAGATTCAGTTTTTTCTACTCTCTCCGACAACTCTCTATTTACTCAAAAACTGGCATCTCTGTTGCATCATTATGATGCAGAAGTTAAAGAGCAAGTTGCAAAACTAATAATGCAGCAGTGCTGAGCTCAGAGGTCCATCTCGAACCATTCCATCGTCAAAATCCTGAATGGCCTGAAAGATATATCAATGATGACCTCCGATAACTATTTTATTGACTTGTGTAAAGTTTCCTCATGTTTAACTGGAGAACTGTATCAATTGCGGACATTTCCTTCTGCCTCTATCTCTCTATTGCCCCCGTCTCTGGAAGTAAAAAAGAAGGTCCATGAAGGACCAGCTCATGGACTCTGAAATAATCTGGAATTTCAGGACAGCATCTGGAGGTTTGTTCTCCGAGCTTGTGGGTTGGTTTCCGAATATTTCATTATCAGACGACCGTGTTTCCCCAAAAATAAGACCCTGTCTTATATTTTTTTGAACCCTGAAATAAGCGCTTGGCCTTATTGCCATGCGCTCAAAAGCCCGTTTGGGCTTATTATCAGGGGATGTCTTATTTTGGGGGAAACAGGGTAGGTAACATTTTCAGCAAAATTTAGGGAATTATTTATATATCTTCCTCTAGTCCAGTGATGGCTAACCTTTTCCGCACTGAGTGCCCAAAGCACCTGCGCGAATGCGCCCAAATCCCCCCAAATGCAATGTGCGTGTGGCCTCCGTGCATGTACCCTGCCCGCATGTACGTGCGGCCCCGCGCCCTGCCCCACGCGCATGCATGTGTGGCCCCCGCACACGCCCTGCCCCCCACACATGCGCAGCAGAGACCTGAAGACCAGTTGGCCGGCAGGAGACGTGCGCACATACACAGTGGATCTGAACTGGAGTGGCGGCTCGCGTGCCATCAGAGAAGGCGCTGCGTGCCACCTCTGGCACGTGTGCCATAGGTTCGGCTCTAGTCACATCAACCCACCAGAGCGGGGAGGCAGGGAATGTTAGGGGTCACTTCTCCTAAGGGGGACCATCAAGTGGGACCAAGAAGAAGGACCTTCTCTGTGGTGGCTCCCTCTCTCCTCTGTAGAACATCGTCCCTGCAGAAATAAGATTGGACCTCACTTTGACACCAAGACCTGGTTTTGCTAACAGGCCTGAGGGCCCCAGAGTGGGATAGAGCCAGTGGTGGGCTGCTGCTGGTTGTAACAACCGGTCTGCCCAGCACTGAAAATGTGACCCTGGTCGCCTTCCACACATGCATGCGTGTGCAGCTTCAAAAACATGACGATATAGGACGGGGCGGGGGGGGGGGCAGAGGCAAGTCCACGGGTTGCAACTACCGGTTTGCCTGAACCGGACTGAACCAGGAGTAGCCCACCTCTAGATGGAGCCCTTCAAATGGCTCCTTTGATTGTTGTCACCAGATTTGTTTTTGCATTGGGCTTTTAGCCTTGTAAGTTGTAAATAGCCTTCGTTAGACCACACTTGTGAGAGAAATAGAATTATTCCTGTAACTAATCTCTACAATATACCTCTACAATAAATCTGCTTTTTACTTGTTCACGGTCGTCTCATTTTGCTCTGAGAGGTTTGGGGTTTTTTTTAACTCTCACATTTGGATTACTGCATCCTGTTTTGGTTGCCATGATGTAAAAAGAGATGTGGAGACTCTAGAAAGAGTGCAGAGAAGAGCAACAAAGAGGATTAGGGGACTGGAGGCTAAAACATACGAAGAACAGTGGCAGGAATTAATTGAGTATGTCTAGTTTTATAAAAAGGAGGACTAGAGCTGTGATGGCGAACCTATGGCACGCGTGCCACAGATGGCACGCGGAGCCATATCGGTGGGCACACGAGTTCAGCTCCGGTGCACATGTGTGTGCTGGCCAGCTGATTTTCGGGCCTTCTGGGCCCACCAGAAATCTGGAAACACCCTGTTTCCAGCCTCTGGAGGCACTCCGGGGGTGTGGGGAAGGCTGTTTTTGCCCTCCCCAGGCTCCTAGAAAGGCTCTGGAGCCTGGGGAGAGCAAAAAATGGGCCTTCCGGTTCTACCGGAAGTCGACAAACCAAAAACAGGGGGAGTATGGGGGGGGTCATGCGTGCAAGTGGGGGGGTGGGGCGCATAGAATTATGGGTGTGGGCACGCGTGCTCATGACCCCCCACGCTTCCCCCGCTTTTGGCACGTGATGGCAAAAAGGTTAGACATCACTGGACTAGAGGGTGACATGATAACAATTCTCCAATATCTCAGGGGCTGCCCCAAAGAAGAGGGAGTCAAGCTATTCTCCAAAGCACCTGAATACAGGACAAGAAGCAACGGATGGAAACTAATCAAGGAGAGAAGCAACTTAGAACTAAGGAGAAATTTCCTGACAGAACAATTAATCAGTGGAACACCTTGCCTCCAGAAGTTGTGAATGCTCCAACACTGGAAGTTTTTAAGAAGAGATTGGACAACCATTTGTCTAAAATGGTATAGGGTTTCCTGCCTGGGCATGGAGTTCGACTAGAAGACCTCCAAGGTCCCTTCCGACTGTTGTTCTGTTCTGTTCAAATTGTCCTGGAATCACTTAAGAGTGAGTTGGGCGGCCATATATATTTTCTGAAATAAATAGAACATTGAATAATAATAACAGTTGGAAGGGACCTTGGAGGTCTTCTAGCCCAACCCCCTGCTTAGGCAGGAAACCCTACACCACTTCAGACAAATGGTTATCCAACATCTTCTTCAAAACTTCCAGTGTTGGAGCATTCACAACTTCTGGAGGCAAGTTGTTCCACTGATTAATTGTTCTCACTGTCAGGAAATGTCTCCTTAGTTCTAGCTTGCTTCTCTCCTGGATTAGTTTCCACCCATTGCTTCTTGTCCTGCCCTCAGGTGCTTTGGAGAACAGCTTGGCTCCCTCTTCTTTGTGAAAGTAGACCGAACGCTTCAAAAGCATATGGCAAGTTGCAAAGACAGATTAATAAAACCGCGGTTATTATTCCGTGGTATCAACAGTAATGGCTTTGTTAGAAGTCCCAAGAACAGGCTACAGCTTTACAGGTCATTACAGGCCATCCTTTAATTACGACCACAATCGAGCCCAATTTTCCTGTTGCTAAGTGAGACGATTGTTCCGTTTTGCTAAGTGAGTTTAGCAAAACTTGCGAACCGGTAGTATAAGTGGCGGGAGGCTCCGCCCACCCACCCTGACATCATATTTGGTAGCTTCTGTGCGCGTGCACTCCCATTGCGAACCCGTAGTAAAGTAGAACCCACCTCTGTGCCAAGGGTCTGATCACATGACCGTGGGGATGCACAGAACAGTCATAAGTGTAAATGGTCAAAAGTCATTTTTTTCACTGCTATTTAACTTCCGTCACTAAACGAATTATTATACTACCTGTAGTGGCTTCAAACTCATATTTTCCCTATAGCAACCACTCTCTGAGGTGACTCTGCCGGAAAAAAAAAAATCAAGATTGGGATAAATTGGCCCCGCCATTTTTCATCCCCAACGGAGGATTATAAACTCAGAACTCTTTTGTTTCTAGTCCAACACCTTTAAGTACTATCCCAAACCATCTATTTATGAACGACGACAACATGTTAAGAACATTTTAGGGCAAGAATTTATTGTCAAAGTAACAAGTTCACACAAGCATATTTGGGTCATGTTATTAATGCTGAGCAAATTCATCAATCATCAGTGATTTCAGCTTTGTAAGGAATCTGTACATCATTACTGGTTTTGGACGTCAATATGGCCGTAAGGAAAGAAATACAAACAAAATGGAGCTGAGTAAAGATTATTTTTGGAGCCACCGATGCTTTCTTATCTTTGCCAGTCATATTCTCAAACAATAGAAGGCTTTGGAGGACAATAACAAACAATTCACAGTCACAGCACAATGCGCACACACGTTTTGGCCAGCAGCACAATAAATGTTAGGCATTTTTCCACATTCGAAATTCTCGAAAAGGCACATTTCAACGGATCGTTTCGAATCAAAGCTTCCATGTTTGCGAGTAGACGTGTGTGTAAGCGTTCGGTAAAATCTGGGTTTCCCTTAAAATGTGCTTTAGCAGCAACTTAGGTTGGAAGACTCATTTCAAGTCCTACAATTCGACAGCTTTGAAGGCACCTGGCACACCCTCTGGGTGAGATCTTTGCTCCAAGTCCGAATAGTCCTTTGCCCATTAAGGCTGCAGGGTTCAAAATGCAAGATTCCACCACAGCTACTCCCGTAAACGGATTGTACCCGGAAAGTTTTAAAAACATTGCCGTGTTAGTATTAATATTTTAAAAAACCAGCCATGCTGTAGGAATGTGTGTTCAAAGAAATGATCGTGGCGAATTCTAAATGACCTTTTTTATGTACGCTTCGTGTCTGGTTAAACACGCAAACAAAATGGTGGCTCCTGAGTGAAGTCTAAGGATCACTCTTCACCGCTAATCCAAAACTCGGATTTCGGCATGCCGGGAAATGTTTTCAATTCGTGTATAAATCCAGCACCCAGTTATGAATACAAAGGGGTCGTTTTTGGGTAGCCTTGTGTTTTTATCCCAGCATCTTCACACGCATGTCTTTTGTTCCTCTCTTGATTAGTTAATGGAGTGGGAGAGGATTGAAGGATTCTACAATTCTTATCACCACACATACTTGTATCGGGCAGGTCTCATCAGCACTGATCTGCATATAGTCAGTTTGCATATTAGTGGTCGGACTAAAATTTACATTCATTTTTACATGCAACCAGGCTCCGTCAAGCACTGAACACATGCTGTTAAAGGGTGTCTGGATGGGAATAAATTCTTAGCAGTTATTTTATACACTCGTTCCAGAGCAAACGAACAATTGTACAAAGTTTTACGTCATAGAAGAATCCACGTTTACTTAAAAGTTATTTGCAGCTCGGTTAATGCTCTCCACGGTTAATTCGTTCATCAAAAATCATGTTACAAAGTCGGTATGCAAGGTTTTTTTTAAGAGGTTGTTAGAATGGAACACGCTTGAAGTCTTCAAAATTTAATTAATCATATTTCTATGAAAAGCCTATTTAATTTTTGTTTTACAAAAAAAAAAAAATATTCACTCTTATTCTCCACGCCCCCCCCCCTCTCCCGGATTATGGTTGGTAAGAAGTTTTTCTGCTTCTATTCAAATCCGTCATCGTTAATATTTATATCTCGTGATTCTCCATGGTTCAAAACGAAGAAATCTTCCGTTTGCAATCCGTATCTGTCAAGAGCTTCCTTCAGTTTAACAGGTGGATCTAAGTAGTACTGCAAAAAAAAACAGGAAATGCCAGATTAGACATAAATTAAGTTCTGTGTTGGGTACAGTAACTATGAGCTTGAAATCAAATTAAATGTCTATGTAAATTCTCAGTCATCCAGGTCCTGGTTGTCCCAAAGATGTTTTTTTCAAGAGGCAACTGGACTTTCTGGTTTTTCTTTGAAGACGTTTCGCTTCTCATCCAAACAGCTTCTTCAGCTCTCACAGAATGGTGGGGAAGGGAAGGATTTATACTCCTTGCAGACAGCTGGTCATTTGCATCCTTTTAGAGATTCGTTGAGGCCACCTGGAGGTGTATTTGTGTCCTCAGGGTCACCTGAGTAGTGCAAATGGGTGTAGAGCCCTTCTTGGAACTGCTGAAAGAACTGTGTTGTAGACCGGAGATAGATGATGCCGTATCCCTCCCCATCCGTTGAGAGAGAGTTGTTCAATTTTGACAAAGATGGCCTCTTTGACCCTTCTTTCAAACCAGCAGTCCTCTCTGTCTAAAATGTGGACTTTGCTGTCTTCAAAAGAGTGGCTTTTGTCTTTCAAATGCAGATGGACTGCTGAATTTTGTCCTAATGGGCTTGTTCTCCTATCTTGTGCCATGCGTTTATGAAGATGTTTCACTTCTCAAACCCAGAAGCTTCTTCAGTTCTGATTTTGGACCGAACGTCTGACAGAAGCGAAGCAGCTTTTTTAGATGAGAAGCAAAATGTCTTCAAAGAAAAATAAAGGAAACCCAGTTGCCTTTTGAAAAAGCACGTTCGGGATTGAAATCAAGTTAAGATTAATTTTTCCCCGTGAAATAAAGTCTGCTACCGCCTTTTAATGTAGTGCCCTACAATTTAACTGATTCCTTGTATTTCTGTGGTAATTGGTAGAGTATTGTAAACTACAAATCGGATGACCTATGTAGCAACAGCTCACTGTCCTTGGCTGATCTCAAAAAAAGCTAAGCAGGATTCTTAGTTTCCTGCCTAAGCAGAGGGCTGGACTAGAAGACCTCCAAGGTCCCTTCCAACTCTGTTATTCTAAATGCATAAACCACTCAAACTTGCATAATGAATGCAGTGACTCAGTCTTAAAATGACAACGCAGCACTTTTAAAGACCCGATGATCTGATGCTCCAACAACAATGTCAGCATCATTTCTGTTTCATCCATAATGCAAGTCCTACAGGCACAAACATGGAACAGCATATTATTTGAGAAGGCTTGTTTCCCCTCTGTCGTGGAATTTTTTTTTTTAAATGATCAACAAGTATTGAACTGCGTAGCGTTTCATTGTTATTCCGGCGAGCACTGTTTCATTTTATTGCAACGGTCATGGCCATAGTATTTTTGCAATGTTACAAGTTTTAAAATATTAACGTAAGCCGCCTCGTAGGAAAAGTGTTTTTAAGGAAGACTTGGATAAATCTGCATTTCAAATCCTCATTTTTCTCGGAAAGCAATTCAAAAAAAAGAGGAAAGGGCACAAACATCCATGATGGGACAAACTGAGATTTTCTTTGTGAGTAATTTTCAAGCGGCGGGGTGGGAGGGGAGCATGATGACTCACCAGTTAAAGATGCTGAGCTTGTCAGGTGGAAAGCTGACAGCATGGGGTTCGAGACCCCCAGCACTGTGCAACGGGATGAGTTCCCGTTCTTGCCTCAGCTCCTGCTCACCTAACTGTCATTGCCTCCGTCAGAGTCTGAATCTGCGGAGAAAGATGAGCCTGAGACTTGACGGTGTGGCCTCGTTGGTTTCAGAGGACTGAGGGGAGGAGCAGGACAAGGCAGCCCCGGGCTCCTAGGGTTTGGGGCAGCTTGCCAGCAGGGAGGAACGGGGGCAGGACAACCGAGAGAGGGCAGGCAGTAAAGATAAGGAGCGATGGAGCTCTGGCAAAGAGCAAGGACCGCCTCCTCCTGATCCCCGAACACAGAGAGTGGAGAGAAGGCGGGAACAGCGCAAGCCGACCCGATGACTTGGGAGGAAAGCACCTCGCCCCACTTCACAAGGCATACCTGGGGACTGAGACTTAAGGAGACGCTGTGGGGAGGGGCGTTTGTCAGGAACAAACACTGAATACGTGGAATATTGTGTGCCATTGCCGACGTCTGGAGTTTGCTGGACTTCTTGCCTTATTCCTTGCTTCCTGGACTCATTGACTTGTTCCTTTGCTTCCTGGACTACAGCCTTGTTCCTTTGCTTCGTGGACTCATTGACCTATTCCCTTGCCTCACTGGACTTTTAGCCTTGAAGACATTGTGCTAACAGCTTTTTGCTGAACTACTCTCAGCCAGAGGCTGCTTAAGGTGTGTGTGTGTGAACACTTTGCTCTGGGACGTGCCATAAATGTGGGAACATCTGGGGGAAAATTGGAGCAATAAAGTTCCTGACTGTGTTGCCTCCGTGCCTTGCCCTGGGTCATTACACCTAGCAGTTTGAAAGCATGCAGATGCAAGTAGATAAATAGGTACCACTTCTGTGGGAAGGTAACAGTATTTGGCGCTCCTTTGTTGTATTGCCATGCTGGCCACATGGAAGTGTCTTCGGACAACGCTGGCTCCCTTGGCCAAGAAACTTAGATGAGCCCTGTCCCCCTTAGAGTTGGACATGACTGACATTTGCAATTTACCTTTTTAATTTCCAAGTGTCCGTGATTAGGCGCAGGAATTCCGTGCACGTGGATTTAAAATAGCATAAAAAACATTCAACAGCCTTATAAATTAAGCCTTATAAACTAAGAAGCACTGCTGTCTTTTGTAGTAGGATATGCAACTCAAAAACCTGGATGCCTAATTTGGTCCTACTCTGTAAATCCTGGGATGCAAATCCTAACATTACTAACAACATTGATGTATATTATCTTTTCCCACTCCACCAGGGGTGAAATCCAGCAGGTTCTGACAGGTTCTGGAGAACCGGTAGCGGAAATTTTGAGTAGTTCGGAGAACTGGCAAATACCACCTCTGGCTGGCTCCAGAGTGGGGTGGGAATGGAGATTTTGCAATATCCTTTCCCCAGGAGTGGGGAGGGAATGGAGATTTTGCAGTATCCTTTCCCCAGGAGTGGGGTGGAAATGGAGATTTTGCAGTATCCTTCCCCTGCCACGCCCACCAAGCCACGCCCACCGAACCGGTAGTAAAAAAAAATTGAATTTCACCACTGCACTCCACCAAAGGGAGTCAACACTTTTCCCTTCTCTTCTCCCTCCCCTATTTTGCTACCATTTTCTTTTGTATTTTATGATATCATCTTCGTTTAGCAATCCCATAATCCCTTGCGGGATGGAGTCTGGGCAACTGAATGGAGCTAGCAGAGTTTTTACTGGCCGGATGCCCTTCCTGACACCAATGCGGAGTTTTGTTTGGCAGATATATTCTCACTGTGAGAGAAATATCTACCTCTACCTACGATCGAATTCACAGCCTTTTGTATTTTATGATATAAACCAATTTTTAAAATTCTATATCCTTCCATTTTAAAGTTCTGCAGGCCGCACCACTTATTTATTTTATTTATTTATTTTATTTATTTTATAGAATTTGTATACCGCCCTACTCCCGAAGGACTCAGGGTGGTGAACAACCATAAAATAAAACATATAGATACAAAATTTAAAATAAACTAAAACGAATTAAATAATTTGGCTGAACAAATTTAAAACCCCAATAATTTAAAACCAAATTTAAAATTTCCATTTAAAAAGGGGTTTTTTAAATTTCCATTTAAAAAAATTATGAGTTATACGTACCTCATTGGCTAAAGCAAAAGTTCCCCAATGAATCCCGACGGACTTCTTCGCTTGTACATCAATATGGATTCGTACTGCTTCTTCGGGGTCCACATGCTGGTATTTCATAAACCACCTACTCGCCCCCAAAAATAAAAAATACCATAATTTCCTTGACAATTTTGTTTTCCTAATTGTAATTTTTACAAAATCGGTACTTTAATTACAACTTTTATTTTCTGGCCGACGTAAAGCTCCCAGGTGTCCCTTTTCATTTTGTAATATTTCTATAGGTTTTCCTGGCTACTCCCACGTGGCTAAGAATAGTTGCCTATTTATCTGCTAAGCTGCCTCTCAGCCAGGGTGGATAAAAATCAATGATTTTTTTAAAAAAATCAAAAAAAATCAGATTTTTAAAAATTTAAATTGGACTTTTTTGATTTAAATTGGATTTTTTTTATTTTTATCGAATTTATTTTAATAAAAAACTTTTGGGGTAAAAATCTATCGTAAGATAGTTTTCTATTTAAGATACACAAATAATTTAGTTTATTCAGCATGAAATGGAGCTTAGATATGTAGCATGAGGCTGTATATTCTGCAACACTGGGACTATCGGTGAGTCAACAGTGGGTCAAAGGAGTTAGGAGAGATGACAGTTGCTCTTTAACAATTATGATTTAAATCGAGCTGATTTAAATCAAGCCTTTTTACTAGTGATTTAAATCATGATTTAAATCAACTCGATTTAAATCAAATCCACCCTGTTAGAAACGCCGTTTCCTATACTTCAAGTCTCACATGTAACGTAACGTCCTGTCCTTTAAGTGTTTTGACTTGATCCATGAGGTACACTAAATGTCTCGTGTGTTTCTATACCATATATAAAGACTCCACTTCCTTAAATAAACATTTTTCGACTTCATCTTCATTACGTGGGAACGGCCATTTTCAGTGAACAAACATTAAAAGCCTCTGATAAGAGGGAAGTATTTGTAATATTTGTTGAAATGAGGGAGTCAACAGTGGGTCAAAGGAGTAGCAGAGATGACAGTTGCTCTTTAAGAATTATGATTTAAATCGAGTTGATTTAAATCAAGCCTTTTTACTAGTGATTTAAATCAACTCGATTTAAATCAAATCCACCCTGCTCTCAGCTCAATGTAAATTTTTGCAAAACACCCCATAGATTACACCTAGTTCCTTTCTCTTGTCTTGCTGTCACCCCTCCCTTGTTCATCGTTAAGTTGTCTTACCCTCCTGCCCCTCTTTGTAATTCAGCCTTCCTCAACTCGGCATCCTCAAAGTGGGTTTGGGACTGTTTGTGCCCAGAATTCAGCAGTTTCGATCTGTCTACAGGAGAAAGCTGCTTTTCATCGTGGGTTTTCATTCTAAAGACTTGGAGAAATGCTATAGAAAGCAGGCTAATCTGGAAGGCGGAGTTAAACAAGTCATCAGTGTGGAGTTTTTGCGATGCCACAAGAGATTCAAGTCCAGCTCCCCCTTCTGGACACAGTCGGTTGCAACCACCCGGCCACGGCCACCTGGCCCCCCCGAGGTCAATCACAACCCTGATGCGGCCCTCAATGAAATCGAGTTTGACACCCCTGGCCTACATCTAAAAACATCAGTAGGCCGATAGTCGCCAAAGTGCTTTTTCAGGAGGCAGCTGGACTTTCTTGTTTTTTCTTTTGAAAACGTTTCGCTTCTCATCCACGAAGCTTCTTCAGCTCTGACTGGAAGGTGGGAAATGGAAGGATTTATATTCCTTGCAGAATATAATTCCCCTTCCAAATCCTCCCAAACCCTTCCATTCCCCATCATCCAGTCAGAGCTGAAAAAGCTTCTTGGATGAGAAGCGAAATGTCTTCAAAGAAAAAAGAAAACAACAAGAAAAGTCCAGTTGCCTCTTGGAAAAAAGCACCTTTGGGACAACTGTGACCTGGATCTCTACAGACTTTCAGTAGGCCGCCATGTCAGCCTCCATGTTTTCGCGATCCCACCTTGGTTCGTAGGCTCCGATGGGAATGGCTGCAAGATCGAACGGCCCAAACCGTTTCCCTATTTCCTCAAAGGCAACGCAATAGCCGGTATCTCCCGCGAAAAAGAAACGGTTCCAAGGACCCAGAACCGACCAGCTTCCCCAAAGAACCTTGTTTTCGTCCGTGGCGGTCCGTTTGCACCAATGCTGAGAAGGAGTGAAAACAAAGGTGACGGCGTCGTGACCAGGAATGCAGTTTTCTCCCCACCAGTCCAGTTCGATGACATTCTCGCAGCCGTATTTTTGCATCCACTCTAAAAGACCCAGCGGCACGAACCACCTCAATTCACTGCCGAAACGTGCGTTTAAACTCATGACGGTCGGATAATCCAGATGGTCGTAATGATCGTGGCTGATCAACACCGCGTCAATTTTAGGCAGTTCGCTGACGGTGCACGGAGGACCTCGGAAACGCTTAGGGCCCAGAAACTGCACTGGGGAAGCCCGCTGGCTGAAGATGGGATCGGTAATAAATGTAACTTCATCCATTTCTACCAACACCGACGCATGTCCGAGCCACGTTACTCGCATACCAGCTCCGGTCTTTCCAAACTGTTCAGAGTTTTGGACGAAATAAGGTGTCAACACGGGGAGGTGTAGGTCAAGGATCTGGCAACAGAAAAACAGAAAAGACAACGTCAGAAAACGGGTCCCATTTCCAAACGACAAATATTATACGTCTTCAATCAATCAGAATAGAGCTGGAAGGGACTTTGGAGGTCTTCTAGTCCAACCCTTGCTCAAGCAGGAGACCTTATACCAGGACTTACGTACCTTATGTTTTTCCTACCTAAGTGTAAAACCTTGCTTTTCTCCACATTAAATTCCCTATTGTCGGCTAGGGCCCGTTGTTCAAGTCTGTCAAGATCTTTTTGGATCCTGAGCTTGTCCTGTCAGCCTTCAGCCAGTCAAGGTTATTATGCAACCAATTTGTAACTTCAGGCTGTATTGTTGAAAGTTCATTGGATAAAGACATTCAAACATGGTCGATGGCACCTTAGCCTTCCGGTAGTGGGCAATTTATAAGGGTAACTACCGTGTTTCCCCCAAAATAAGACCCTGTCTTATATTTTTTTGAACCCCAAAATAAGAGCATGGCCTTATTTTTGGGGAGGTCTTATTATTTTGGGGCACGTAGAGCAAGACGGGGCTCCTCTTGCCGTCTTACCTGATTTCCAGCTCTGTGTTTAAATATTTTCGGGGAGGGCTTATTTTCGGGAGAATGCTTATTTTAGCGCATGCGCTCAAAAGCCCGATTGGGCTTATTATCAGGGGAGGTCTTATTTTCAGGTAAACGGGGTAGATAATGGAAGATACCTACCATGCGCCTTCCTGTAAAGCTATTTCAATTTGACAACCGGCCTGCATTCACAGCCATTTGTAATGTCCCACAACAATTTATGATTTTTCTGCTGAAAACCACCATACCATTTCAAACCAATTCTTTCCGATTTCTGGCAAAACAACACCCATCGAGAACAATGGGTTCAGTTTACAACCTCAGCATTCGCTTACGACATTCGCTTTACGACTGCCGCAAAAGAGGTCGTAAAATGGGGTGCGGCCACATGATGACTCGCTTAGCGACTGCCACAATTTATGACCGTAATTCCGGGCTCGATGGTAGTCCTAAATTGAGGACTCCCTGTATTCCTGCGAGAATTTTATTTTTGTCACAGAACTCTGTTTTATTCAATACGGAATGAATATTCATTCCAGATACATACAGGTAGTCCTTGACTTAAAATACTTCACTTAGTGACCATCTGAAGTTACAACGGCACGGAAAAAAGTGACCTTTGGCCATTTTTTACACTTACGACCATTGGAGCATCCGCACGTGATCAAAATTCAGATTCTTGGCCACTGACTCATTTTTATGATGGTTGTACTGTCCCTGAGGTCACGTGATCTCCTTTTGCGACCGTCTGACAAGCAAAGTCAATGGGGAAACCGGACTCACTTCACAACCTAACTTAACAACTGTAGTGATTCACTTAACACCTGTGGCAAGGAACATCGTAACATGGGACAAAATTCACTTCAAAACTGTCTCGTTTAGCAATAGAAATTTTGCATTCGTAAGGCAAGGACTACCTGTAGACAGGATGTCTTTTAGTCAGCAAAACAACGTAACACGAATTACCTCAAAAGTTCTCGGTAGGGTTAGATTTTACCGTAAGCCCTTCGAACAGGCTTAAAAGCGAACAACATAGTTAATCCTTTAATAGCTCTACTCTGACTTGGTATTAGCTCAGCTGCAAAAATATGTTAGTGTACTTATAACCTGAGTGTAAGACCAGCAACAGATGTTCCAAAGCTGGAAACATTCACAAATGGACTACAACAACAACTATTTGTGGGGAAATGTGGACATTGCTACATTGATGTAGCACCAGCAAAACACTGTGGAAAAACATCTGATTTAATTTCGGATCCAAGGGAAGGAAACAGACAGGCGGCAGGGAAAAATAAAAATAAGATTATATACTATCAAATTGGCATCCAGCCTGCATCAAGGAACGCAATGATCAAATATACAACATTTGCCTTCAGAAGGCTTCAGATCTTTTCTCTGCACAGCAGGTAGTCCTCAATTTGCAACTAGTGGCTTAGTAACAGTGGTGGGTTGCTCCCGGTTTGGACCGGTTTGCAAGAACCGGTAGTAAAACCGGCAGGAGGCTCCGCCCACTGACCCTGACGTCATCAGAAGCGATCTGCGCATGCGAACCGTTGCGAACCGGTAGTAATGGTAAGTAGAACCCACCCCTGCTTAGTAACCATCCAGAGTTTATGACAGACCCCCCCCCAAACACTACTTACAACCTGGTTCACAATTTGCAACAGCCACCCCTCCCCCACATTCACGTCTGTTTGGAGGGTGCTGCGGTCACCCTCCAAACAGTAGGTCACAATCTACTCTGCTTTTTCGGGAAAACAGCATTTATTTCCAGTTTCCAGGAAGAAAAAAAAAAGGCCATAGTGGACAATGGATCCACTTAACAACCCAAGGGTTCACTTTATGACTGGGGTATTGGCTTTACAACTGCTGCATTCACTAAATGGATGCTGGCAAAAAAAAGTCATAGAATCAAGTCATGTTGTATGATGACTCGGGTTACGACCGTTGGGATTTAACGGCCCTAAGTCCTAGAATCCTAGATCTGGAAGGGACCTTGGAGGTCTTCTAGTCCAACCCCCTGCTCAAAGCAGGAGACCTTATACCTGTGATGGCGAACCTATAGCACGCGTGCCCAAAGTGGCACACAAAGCCATGTCGCCCGGCACGCGCGACCTTGACTGTTTGTTTTCTGGGTTTCTGGCATGCATGTATGCGCGATGATCAGCTGTCCTTCGCACGCGTGGCAGTGCCAAAAACCATTGTGAGCATGCGCGCCGGCCACCTGATTGTCGGGAGCACATTCACGACAGAATCAGGAAGTTTGACTTTTCTGGAGCACGATCAGAGGTGGGTTTCAGCAGGTTCTAACCAGTTCTGGAGAACCGGTAGCGGAAATTTTGAGTAGTTTGGCGAACCGGTAGTAAAAATTCTGACTGGCCCCGCTCCCATCTATGCTCTTCCTCCCAAGTCCCAGCTGATCGGGAGGAAATGGGGATTTTGCAGTAACCTTCCCCTGGAGTGGGGTGGGAATGGAGATTTTACATTATCCTTCCCCTGCCATGCCCACCAAGCCACGCCCACCAAGCCACACCCACAGAACCGGTAGTAAAAAATTGTGAAACTCACCACTGCGCATGAACCCTTTGTGCGCGCAACAGTGCCAAAAACCACTGTGCGCATGCGCACTGGCCAGCTGACTGTCGGGCATGCATCCGCGCTAAAACACGGAAGTTTGGGTTTTCTAGAGCGCGGCCCCAACAAGTGCGCGCATGATGTTTCCGCGTGACGTTTTTGGCACTCGGTGCCAAAAAGGTTCACCATCACAACCTTATACCATCCCAGCCATTTTTGAAACCCTCCAGTGATGGAGCATGCCCCACTCAATTACAGTCATAAGTCAAGGACTATCGAGACAGGATCATCCGTTGTGTTCTAAAATCCTAGGAAGATACGTTTTCTATCGAAATCGAGAACAAAACTCAACAAACTACCAATTTTTCTCTTTACCAATGACAGCCTCCTGGATTCTAAAGCCACAAGGTACTAGAATATCAAAGAGGAAATATCTAAACCAAATATGTATCGGGACGGCATTATAAATTATTTAGCAAAAAGGATATTTGCCATGTGATGCTGGATTAGGACGGTTTGTCGCATTCGCACTCAAATAGCTATGTCTGCTTCACACATGAAATTATTTTAGGGTGCTATTGTTGTGGTCCGCCAGCAGCCTGCGGAGCTGGCAGCGGAGTCGGACAGCGATGAGGCTGGGGAAGAACATGGGCCAGTCCTGGAGGCTGGGGAAGGCCCGGATGAGAGCTCTGCGTCGGAGGCAGAGATGGGGCCAGGACCATCCAGGAGTGATGTGCAGACTTCGGAGCCTCCAGAGGCTGACAGTAGAGAGGCAGAGGAACAGGAGGAGCCTGTTTCTTGTGTACTTATGAGAAGAGCTGCCAGAAGGCAGGAGCAGCTAAAGCAAAAAAGACGACTCGGGAGTAAGGCCAGGAGATGATTGGCCCCTCCCATAAGACTTAAAAGACCAGCAACGGCTCTTGGGCTCTTTGCCGGAAAACAACGCTGAGATAATTGCTTCTTGTTTCACTGTATTTATTTCTTGTCGGCATCTTCTGTTTCTGAACTTTTGCCAAGAAAAGCCTTTGGCAGTTTGCCTAATTATATCAAGGTTGGTGATAAACTGCGGAATGGTGTTTTGAAGAATTTGCTTTAATTTAGTTTGGACGACGCTGAGAATGAGTTAATTCTCAGCTGTTCTAATGAAGTCTGTTTGTTTTCGAACTGTTTGTGTTTAATACCAACTACTTGGGCCTGAGTCACGACAGCTATGATATTTGATAATTAAAGTATAAATCATCATCAATTTATTTGCAGGCGGCGCTTTCCGAAAATTGAAGCACAATCAACCGTGAATGCATTTACCTGTTTTGAACTTGGGACTTTGCTGTTGTCTTTTTCTGTAAAAATCCACTTCAAGAAGTTTGGGATGGTTACTGGTTTCCAGGTTGGCCAGGGATTTATAAACCGGCCATCTTTACTTTTCTTTGACTTTGTTACATCTTCCTCCAGTCGATAATCCAACCGGAAGCTTTTTCTAGATGTTCTGGAAGAATTGCTGCCCCGGGAACCTTGATTCGAATTCTGACGTTTCCTTACTTCTTCTTCTTTCAAGTTGGAATTGCAAGGCTGCTCTTCGTCCATTTCATTCGGTGTCGAACTAGGGACAAAAAAAAAAAGAAAAATTAATTAATTGGAACATTAAAGGAAGGGGGAGGGAAAACCCAGGCATGCCCTAAAAACCATCTGGAAATCCTTCCTCCGCGTTTCCACGCCAAGAATGTTTTAAGAGCAGGTCTTAGCATGCAGTCATTAGAATTCTTTTAATTCATGACAAGAAGCGTGTTTTGGCTTTTAAACAGTGTTAGTTTGCGCTCTTTGCTGCGTTCCGGGAAGAGAAGCTAAAGCTTTGGCTGAATCGTAACCTGTTTGTGAAGTTCACAATTTTATAAACAGCTGATTGAAATACAGGAGAGACACGTAGGAACGTATCTGGTGAGCCAATGGATTTTTATATGCAATAGTAAGTGGAGAGTTATGGGGGAGAAATTGTCCTGTAAAATCAATGTGACAGTGATAAAACATTGTCTTTCACATTTTAGGGAGGGGAAACGAAGTCTTGATAAAGCTATAAATAAAGGTAAAGGTTCCCCTCACACGTATGTGCTAGTCTTTCCCGACTCTAGGGAGTGGTGCTCATCTCTGTTTCAAAGCCGAAGAGTCAGCACTGTCCGAAGACGTCTCCGTGGTCATGTGGCCGGCATGACTCAACGCCAAAGGCGCACGGAACGCTGTTACCTTCCCACCAAAGGGAAGGTATTTTTCTACTTGCATTTTTTTACCTGCTTTCGAACTGCTAGGTTGGCAGAAGCTGGGACAAGTAACGGGAGCTCACCCCGTTATGCAGCACTCGGGATTCTAACCGCTGAACTGCTGACCTTTTGATTGACAAGCTCAGCATGTTAGCCACTGAGACACTGTGTCCCTTTTTAATTATAGTTTAATTATAAACTATAACGTAGAGCTACTTTGTATGTTATAAGTACTACGGGTAACCCGTGACGTACAACAGTACATTTCGTGATCGTTCGAAGTTACAACGGCACTGAAAAAAGTTGAGTCATGGACATTTTTCACACTTAATGACCGTTGTGGCATCTTCAGGGTCCAGTGATTAAAATTCAGGCAGTTGGGAACCGACTCATATTTATGACGGTTGAAGTGTCCCAGGGGGTCATGGGATTCCCCCTTTGCGACCTTCTGACAAACAAAGTCAAGGGGGAAGCCAGGTTCACTAAACAACCGTGTTACTAGCTTAACAATTGCAGTGATTCACTTAACAACGATAGCAAGAAAAGTCATAAAATGGTACAAAATTCACTCAACAAATATCTCACTTCACAACAGAAATTTCAGGCTCCATTGTGAGGCGTACGCCAAGGACTACCTATATCCGTGATGGCGAACCTATGGCACGCGTGCCACAGGTGGCACACGGAGCCATATCAGTGGGCACATGAGCATTGCCCTAGCTCTTCAGGCCTTCCGGGCCCACTGGAAGTTGGCAAACGGGCTGTTTCCGGCTTCTGGAGGGCCTCCAGGGGGTTGCGGAAGGCCGTTTTTGCCCTCCCCAGGCTCCAAGAAAGGCTCTGGAGCCTGGGGTGAGCAAAAAACAGGCCTACCGAGCCCAGCGGGGCCATCATGTGCCAAAAGCGGGGGGAGTGCAGCGGGGTTGTGCGCGCATGTGTGGAGAGCATTGAATTATGGGTATGGGTACATGTGCAACCTCCCGCACTCCCCCCCCGCTTTTGGCACGCGATGGCAAGGTTACCCATCACTGACCTATATTATCAAAAAGATAATAATTTATTTGCAGGCAGCATTTTCCATAAATTTAAGCACAATAACCATGAATGATTGCTGTTACCAGGGAGATGGGGGAATTATTGTTTTCACTGTTGTATATTGGTTTCTTATTATTTTTTTGTAAGCTGCCCAGAGACACCGAGTGTGAGTGGGCAGCCATTAAAAATTTTCAATAATAATAATAATAATAATAATAATAATAATAATAATAATAATAATAATAATAATAATTAAATAAATAACGAGCAATATTTCTGTGGCTTGCTAAGAATCTCGCCCCCATCCCCGCTGCATTTACCCTTTTGAACTCAGAGATAAGATTGGATTCCAAAGTTTTTTTAAAAAAATACAACTCAGCAAATTTTGCACCTCTTGGAATTTGTAAATGTTTTCCAGGTGCTGTACTCTATACAGCTAATGTTTGTTAATCCAGTTATTAACGCTCCATAGTTTAGGGCCCAGTTATTTACGAGACCACCTTCTGCCACCGATAACCTCCCACCGGCCAATACGCTCCCACAGAGAGGGCCTCCTCAGGGTGCCGTCGGTCAGACAATGTCGGCTGGCGACCCCCCCAGGGAAGAGCCTTCTCTGTGGGGGCACCCACCCTCTGGAATGATAAATTTAATTTTGTTTTATAGTATTTTAATGTTTATATTGTATGTTTTTTACTTTTGGCTGTTCACCGCCCCGAGTCCTTCGGGAGAGGGGGCGGTATAAAAATTAAATAAATAAATAAATAAATAAATAAATGAGATCTGTGGCAGTAGTGGGATTCAAATGTTTTTACTACTGGTTTTGTGGGTGTGGCTTGGTGGGCGTGGCATGGCATGGCTTGGTGGGTGTGACAGGGGAAGGTTACTGCAAAATCCCCATTCCCTCCCAATCAGTTGGGACTCGGGAGGCAAAGAATAGATGGGAGCAGGGCCAGTCAGAGGTGGTATTTACCGGTTCTCCAAACCACTCAAAATTTCCGCTGCCGGTTCTCCAGAACCGGTCAGAACCTGCTGAAACCCACCTCTGATCTGTGGTCTCCAGAGACTTGCAAAGTTGGAACATGGCTTCATTAGAACAGAGCATGATATACAAGCATAGACATGTATACGGGTAACCCTCGACTTACAACAGTTCATTTAGTGACCGTCCGATGTTATGACGGCACTGAAAAAAAGGACAATTTTTTCACACTTACGACCATTGCAGTATCCCTGTGGTTACGTGATCAAAATTTGGACGCTTGGCAACTGACTCATATTTGTGACTGTTGCAGGGTCCCAGAGTCACGTGATCCCCTTCTGACAAGCAAAGTCAATGGGGGAAGCCAGATTCACTTAACAACCGTGTTATTAACTCAACGGCCGCAGCGATTCACTTTAACAACGGGGGCAAGAAAGGTCGTAAAATGGGGCAAAACTCACTTAGCAAATGTCTCACTTAGCAACATACATTTGGGGCTCAATTGTGGTTGTAAGTCAAGGACTACCTGTACCTAGTTATGGATACCCACGAGATAGGTACATTTTAAGCACGCAGAGGCATGTTAGTGAAGGAAGTTAGCACCCACCCCGCTCCTAGAAAAATGAAATATTCTAGGAAATATTAAAAAGGCAGAATATTTCCCCTAAAAGAGAAATAGAAATCTTAAGACAGAAACTCAGCCCCAGCTCCCTGCCCCCAGCAGATACTTTGGTTATTTACAAGACGAAAGGCTGGGCCAGCTTATCTACAACACAAAAGACATGGCCCTCAGGACAGGATAGGATTAGCCCTCACTCAAGATCCAAACCAGGACAAAGCCATTAAGCCATTAATAGGAATTGCCCAAAGCCTTTTCATTACATCATCACCCCGCAAGATTCAACCAGGCCTGGGACACAGACAGCCGACAAAATTAGCTAAAAACCCCATCCCCCTGGGAGTCTGACAGCCAATAGGATAGATTTCTTGTTCAGGAACAGGAGACTCTAAGGCAGGACCCAGGAGAGTGTATGAATATATGCCTCTCTCCACTCCATGTGCTCTTTTTGCCCAGGATCCAAAAAACCCATGTGGTCCTGTCCACCATTAAATCATCTTTCCAAGCGATCTCCATGTCTCCAGTGCCTTTCTTCCCAATTGGAACTGAACCCAGATGGACATTTCTTCCAACATTAGAACAGAGTATTGGACGTGCGCAGACTAGTAACCCAAAATCTCCCCCAAAGCTGACCACAGGAGCTCAGCCCTAAATTTTCCGACGTCAGAAAAATAGCGTAACGCTTTTGAAAGCAATCAAGAGTGCAATCTGTGAGTAACTGACCAATAAGCACACGCTGTCTTTCCACATTTCCTAGTTAGAAGTTACTCGCCTTTAGAAGTGAGTAGTTAGGCATCGTAACTTTAAAAGTGGCTAAAGTTAACCGTTTGCAAAAAGTTACTCGTACGTTCAAATCGGTGTCCTCTTTATGCATCCGGCCTGCTCTAATCTAAATCTTTCTTTTTTTAAAAAAAATAATAATAATAATAACTGAAAGCGTTCGTTCATAGAAATTTGGACCCATCAGCCTTGGGAGAAAATCTTAGAAATTCTGACCTACCGAAACGGTGTCCGAAGAAGCGAGTTATAGTTCACGACAATTTTCGAAAAAACCCGAGAAGAAGTTAGCAGGCACGAGCCTTCCACCCACAACATCTACTTAAAATAGTTTTATCTCACTGGATTGGAAATTGAAGAATGTTGTTACTACTATTAGTTGATTAAGATCTTTGGAATGGAGGAAGTGGTGCCATCTGGCTGGCTGGATGGAAGGGAAGATCGGGGTGATTCCATTGCAGTTCGCTCATTTTCCTTCTTCCCCAATTGTGTGTGCGCTCTTGTTGTTGAATATGCAGCTAGACTAAATAAAGAGCGAGTATAGACTTCTTTAATCTCATTGGCTGAGCCGTCTGACAGCTTCCTATAAAAGGCCAAGATCAAGGCACTGGGTTGTACCGATCTACTTCGATGGAAAGCTGTTCCTCTTAGTCAAGCTGCGTCTTGTCTCTTCCATCGCCCGATTCAACACTTGTGTCGTTTTTTCACACTTTAAACCCTGCAGGCAGGAATCTCCAAAGTGTTGGCAGCCTCTCTGAGGTCATGTCGCAAGAACAAATGCTTCCAGGCCTGAGAAAATTCACAGCCTGGAGAATACATCCAGAAATACAGGTGGGGACTGGGCACTGAAATTCAGCATGAAAAAAAAAATATTTTCAATTTCTGCCATTTTCTCATTGCTCAAGGTTCCATGAATGGCACTGTTACAAAGGCTGAAAGTT